ATATGATTTTAATAAATATTTAGCGTTAGTTTGATCAGTCTGAGTTTTAATTGCTTAAGATCACAGGGGTTATGAGTGGTATTTTTCAGAGATTATCATGATTATGAGCAATATGAACAACACAAACTAAGCTGAGGCATAAGGCAATATGAACAACACAAACTAAGCGGAGGCATAAGGTTTGTGTTAGATTTTGAGATAATTATTGCTTCAAGGTTATGTAAAGTCACAATCTCTGGTGTCTTGGTCTATATCCTCTAGGTAGAGCAAATTAACAAAAGATCTGAAAATAAGAGATTGACAAAGTCAATATAGTGGTGGTTAATATGACACCGCAATAAAAGTGTTAGTTGAAGTCTAGTTAGTTCTTCACCTAGATTTTGTACTGCTTTCACTCCCTACTCTTGCTCTCATAATCTGACATTGCTAGCTTAGCCTCCTTTGTCTTATCACTACCACCTATTGGACATTCTCCATATTAGCTATATTAAAAGTTATATTGTTTACTGTACTTCCTCACTTCTAAGCCCTTGTACATGCTGTCTCTTAAGTCAAAATTTGCTTCCTCTTCCCATCCCACACACTTTCTTTTTTATCAAGGCTTTTTTCAAACATTTCTTTTATAATAAAATCTTTCAGTCTTCCCCCCTCTAAGTTAGGTATTCCCTTATTTGTATTCCCAGAGCATCTGTATAGACTTTTGTATTGTCATTGTTTTTTTTACAGGTTTTTCCTAAGGTATACTGAGTTGTTTTTTGTTTTTTTTTTTAAACTTGAGACTAATACTTCTTCAGCCTTTGTCTTTATTAGTACAACTTTTGGCATAATTCATAGATTATACTCTTACTATGTTCATTAAAATATGAAGAGAGACTAGTTAGTAGACAAAAAAAATCTAGGCTAGAACTTAGATGATAGAAGGTATTGAAAAAGCAGTTGTGAAAGCCACTGTGAGGGATAGAACAAAGAAAGAGAAGTAACTCAGGAAATAATTTTTAAATATTACGGATTAGTTTATTCATTTGTGCCTCTCAAGTAGAAATATTAGAACCTTGAGTGGTGCCTTGAGTGGCTTTGGACTTTATTCTGTGTAAATGGAAAATAGAGGGTTTGAGGCGGTTTAAAAGTGACAGTTTGGCATACACGCACACACACACACATATTTTAATGACTATAGTTACTCTGTGAGGAATGGACAAAACAGGTAAGAGAGGAAAAGGTTGATGAGAGATGACCATGGATCATTTAGAACCTTGACTTAAGATTGGAGATAGATTTTTAAATTAACCTACATTTGTTTACAAACAGGAAAACTATCACTCTGCCCTGGGATGTGTTTTTTTTCCCTGGGAAATAGGACTTCATGCCTGGCCTAGCATTTACTAACATTATAGACAATATATGGCCTTGCTGAAGGAAATTTGTGAAAAATTAAATAGTTTGAATATGATCTTAGTTTATTTTTAACCTTTCCCTATTTATCTTTTCAGGTATACATACATATTTTCAAGCACCAGTTATAAACTGTTGTCATTTTCTTTCCCAGACCATTTATAAAGCACCAAGCCTTCCTTATCCCTTCTGTTTTCAATACCACCTGGACTTCTCTGAAGTTGTTTGCTATGATGATCTCAAGTTGAAATTCTGCAAATGCTTTGTCTCTGATAATTATTATTTACTGCATTTAACTTGGAAATACTATAAATATTGAGAGTATCATGCCTTAGGAATTCCTAGCCTGTTCAAATTAAACAATGAAGAATTATGCTGAGAAAATTCAGCAAAATTAGTCCCTCCATTTTGCTTGTCAGCGTATACTACTTTATTTTGAGGCCAACTCTTTTTAGGGTCAGATTGATTGAAAAGATTATTAGTGTAAGCTAACCTATATATGTATATTTTCTGCTTTGTTTTGTGGAATCAATGGAAAGATGAAGGGCGTTGATTAAATTATTTAGATCTTACTCAAAAAAGGCTTAAGAAACATTGCTTTTGGTACATGCCTGTTCATATTCCTTTGTGGTATAATCTCAGTTTTTATTTCTCATTATAATCATTACAATCATTACAATCTCAGTGCAATCATCTGGTATAATTGTTTAGAGATAAAATAGTTAACAAAGTTGATCTATACATTTGATATGTATACCTGACAAATTGTACATACCAAAGAATTCAGTGAGTTTTGTTTGTAATTGTGAAATACTTTTATTTTTAAATTCATTTTTTAAATTTCCATTTACCAAATTGACTTTAATATATACAACATATCAGTAAATTTTGATATAGTGTTTACATACCCTCTTTGAAATGATAAAAATTGATTTCTCCGTTTCTTTGATTCTTTCTCTTATCCAGGAGGCAATTTGAATACCTTGCCCTTTCATATCAAGCATTCATTTGTGTCAGCTGTCCTTCAAATACATCTTTTACTCCTGTCATTACCACAGGGTAGTCTGATCCATGGTCATCTCTCATCAACCTTTTCCTCTCTTACCTGTTTTGTCCATTCCTCACAGAGTAACTATAGTCATTAAAATATGCATGTGTGTGTGTGTGTGTGTGTGTATGCCAAACTGTCACTTTTAAACTGCCTCAAACCCTCTATTTTCCATTTCACATAGAATAAAGTCCAAAGCCACTCAAGGCACCACTCAAGGCCACTCAAGGCACCATAGGACTTGGGCCCCACCACTATCTCTGACTTCAGTTCCTACCATTCTCTACTAAGTTCATGTTGCTTTAACCATACTACCCAGGATCTTGCTGTTCTCTCTCTACTGAATTTTCTTCCTACACAGGCCTTTGCATGGTTGGTCCTCTTTCTTCTTTGCTTGATTGTTACTTCCTACTTTCACCCCTTCTGACTATTCTAAAATATTTTCCTGTCCTGTTCCATCAATCTATATGGAATGAAGGACAGCCCATTTAAAACTAGCTTTTGTAAAAAACTGATTATGTTATCTGTTTTTCTTTCAGATTCTGCCATGTGTCAGAGAATTCTGTTTCATTCCAGTATCCATCCCTTGATGCTCTTTCATTTGGATAGCAGCATATTTAGTTCTTTGGGGTGTTGTGGGGTTTTTTCTCTTCTGAAGTCACATAAGAATTAGCATTTTCACTGATGTCTAATTTCTGTGTTGAAGCACACAAAACAAAAACAAAATTCTGCATATTTGTATTCTCTCTGACACAAAACAGTGAATCTGGGAAAATCTGGTATTGATGGAAGAGTAACATTTCTGTTTTCCTTTCAGGCATTTCTTATGTTTAGTTTTGCTTTCAAAACAGTAAAATCTTCTTTGTACAGTATTAGCAAGAACTTTTTTATTCTATGCAGTTTCAGTTTTGGAATTCTATGAGTTATTAATTGGTTTTGATGATAAATGTTATACAAGAACTGTCAAAAGAGAAGTGTACTTTGTATCCATTTGAGTTAATTTATGTGTACAAAATTTAATGAGAAATACCCTGGTATTCTCTTGAAATTTTATTACATTCTTTAAGTTTCATGCTAGTTTTCTCATGTCTGTCTAGTTTAGAATTAGAACTCAGTAGTCAAAGACAATTTAAATGAATCCTTAACTTTTGCAAAACAAACTTTAAAAATCTCAGATATAGAGTCTTAACTTGCAGGCCAGAAAGTGCTTTTTCGCACCCTTTTGTGAAATAAAACTCACTAAAAATACTTTCTTCCCTAGTAGGAACTTTTTAGGGGCCTTGATGGATAGGGATGTGGAATGCTAATCCTGTGATTGCATTCAGAATTATAGAATAACTTCATGAGATTCTCTAGGGAGGCCACTGCCCAAAGAAAATTGTGTTCTTACCAATTAATAGACCCTTCAAAAAAATATTTCATACCTAAAGAAACTAATATCTTCAAAACTTAGCAAAGTTGTGGTTAAGATGTCCTCAGACCATTGTTCCGATTTAACTGAATGGCTTCTTCTCAGACCTCAATAGGAAGCATAGTTTGCATTTCCTATAAATTTAACAGAGGCCTTAAGATAGAGTAATTAAAATAGCCTAAAACAGACTTGCACATAAAATTTGGCCTTTAAAGCTTTCAAAATCAGTTCATCAAATCTGCTGATAAACAGTGGTCACTACAGTGTTTCATTTTAAAATGAGAAGTAAAACAAATATTGTATTTATAATCAAAGAAAATACCTTTCGTCATTTATGAGTGTACCAGATTGATGTTAAACTTGATGTGAGTTTCCTCCCAAAATTGTGTGTGTATTCAAGTCTTTACAAATCTTTTAGGGGGAAAACACAATGATCTTCAACAACTTCAGTCGGTACATAGTTTTGGAAACTGTAGAGGTCACCTTAAAAAAATAAAAATAAAAATTAGCACAGATTTAGTATTTATCTTGGTGATTGCTCAAAATTACTAGTGTTACATATGAAAAAAACTTAATAAACAAGTGTAAGCAGGTTATATACACAAGGGAGGTCATAAATTTACACCTTTATCCTTTTGTTTCATGAGTGGGAACATGTGAAAATTTCCAGTATGGCATTTTGCAGCAACTCTAATAGTGCTTTATCTCAGTAAACTTAGAAAAAGAGATAATTTAAAAAGTAGATATAGTGATAACAAAAGCACTAATGTTGAAGATGCATGTGAATTAATTATGCATTTTGCATAATTAATCTGAGGAAAAAAATCTTTGCTTGGAGAAGTTATATTTGAAATTATATTTGAAATTATATTTGCTGTTTTTTAAAAGCGACTTTCGGTTTTTTTTTAAAGTAAGTGGAATTATTGCATGAGACAGGCTTTAACTTTCTCCTCTTTTAGAACCTGGAAAAAACATATAATACAGTTCTGTAAAAGTGAGAATTACAGCTTTCTCATGTGCCCCATCAGCCCTTAGTTGATTCTTTATCACAGAAATACTGCCTTTATTTTCTCTATTTCACACAGAAGTAAGGTAAAGTCTCACGTTTCCCAAAATGTTACGTTTGATAAATGTAATGTTTTTGTTTAGGTGACAAACAGCATGTTTGGTGCTTCAAGAAAGAAGTTTGTAGAGGGGGTCGACGGTGACTACCATGATGAAAACATGTACTACAGCCAGTCTTCTATGTTTCCACATCGGTCAGAAAAAGATGTAAGTTAATCAGTTGCATTGTATTTACTCAGCAGTTTATGTTTATTTCCTTTGGGTTTTCTGAAATGCAGTATGTGAACTGCTGAGTGTCCCATCTTTAGTTTAATGACTGTGTAAACAAAGATGATGAGCTTATATTCTAATTGGACACAAAAACCCCATGATTCACAAGTTGGGATATGGAAATCCTGTAGGGTAGGAAGTCCTCAAAGACATGAAGTAAACATGGTATTACTTTTAAAGCATTCATTGTTTTTTAATTTGTTTAGTAATTTGTTGTTTTTAATTTAAAACAAAATGTACACATAGTATAGAAAACAGACTTATACAGATGTAAAGATACAATGGCACATATAAATGAACTTTTAATTTTGTTTTGTAACCTAACTGTAATCCTAGACCTCAGGTAGAAAGAACATTTTTCTCTTCAACCATAGGGATGCTACAATAGACAAATTATTCAACAACTATATACAAAATAATGGAAAGTGATATATTATAGAAGCATGAATCAGTGCTTTGGAAGGCTAGTTCTATAATCCTATTAGAATGAAAGGTATTTAGGATCTAGTCAAGTCATAATAAGTTGATAAAATATTTTTAAATAACTTCAGTTATTTTAAACGTGGTAAGCTACTTTCAAATAATGCACTATATATTATAGTTAAACCAGTTGCATTCTTGCACTTTATACTTGCCCAGCCTTTTTCCTCTCTCCAGCCTTTACAGATACACTGTTTGTAATTTCTCTATCTATATGGCAATATATTCTAGTTATTAACGTAATGAGATTTTTGCTGATGTTTAAAATACTTATCCAATCCTAAGATATATAACAAACACCCTCATTTTTTTCCATCAAAGTTGATTATTAGTAAATCACTTTCTGTGTCCTTTTAGAATTTTATTATTATTTTCATAGCAAATTGACTTAACAAGGTTTAAGTTAGGATTTTGGTGGGCTAGGCTTTCCCTTCCTATTCCTATTATTTTCTATATTAGTGTCAGTATCATTTATTTTTACTTGAAGATTATGTCAGTTGCATCATTTGGACTCTTTAAATTACGTGTATGATGGCTTTTTTTTTTACAATTAAAATGCAGTTGAATAGTTCATTGAATATTGTATAATTTTCTGTTGTTTTACTGCTCTTCTAACTGTTTGCTATTTGATATAAATCATAAGTGAATTATTCCTTACATAATATAAATGCTTAGATATTGATCTTATAGTTAAAGAATTTAGGGTGTCTTTCCAGTACCTCACTGCAGAAACTAGTAATGGTACATCAACTATCAAACTAATCTATGTATTACTGTGATTCTGTAGTGTTAATTAAGTTTGAAGAAGAAATGGTGGTGGAATGTTGCTTACTGATGAAAAAGCATTCTTATTCAGGAAATACGAAGCTTTCACACTGAAATCTGGAGTAAACTATGTACAGAGATTTTAGTCAGATACTGTCTTCTAGAGAGCAGGAATACTACGTATTAGTGACTTTTAGTCAGCATTATTACAAATGCTCACACACATACATGTTATCATTCCAGTTTTGTTGTTTGTTACACAAATAATTCAGAATAGTTTGCTTCACAAAACCTTTTTTAAAAATGAAGAAGGTAATGAGGCCTAGATATTAAGAAATGGGACTCTAAATGAGTATAGTTACGTTTTTGGGTCTTGACTTTGCATGTTAGCACTTCAGATAGTTAGAACTTCAGATAGCAAGAAGACTTAATTTTCTCATCTATGGATTAGAATTATATAGTAGTAACTTACAAATTTATGCTGTTGCTATACTTTTTTATTGCAAAATAGCACAGGGATATTATACAATTTTAGAAAATATGTGTGAAAAGAGTAAAATAGCCCTAGTGTTGTCAACCAAAAATAATAATTATTATTTACACTGTTTCTAAGATATTGGTTTTAGTCTTAAATATTTTATTTTTTTTTAAATATTTTATTTTAAAAAATATTTTATTTTATTTTATTTTAAAAAAACTCTGGGGTGGGCCTCCCCGGTGTCGCAGCAGTTGAGCGCTGGGTTGCAAAGCTGCCCGCAGCTTCTGTAGTGCCGTTTCTATCCCCGGCTGCCAGGCGAGGATCCCACACAGTGCAGACCTCTCCTGTTGCCCGCTGCTGTGCTCAGCAGTGTACTTCGTTGCTCTGCCTTTTCTACTCTCCACTCTGGCTCTGGTGAATTCTTTCACCCTCCCGCGCCTCTGACTATACCCAGTGCTTGTATAAATAAAAAAATAAATCTTTAAAAATAAATAAATCTCTGGGGCATAATAAGATTTTCTCCTAGAAAGTACTAATTTTTACTCTTATCAGCTCTCTCCGTGCTCTCAAGAATACCAATTAATGTCTTTGTCTTTGTAAATAGACAGAAGAAATTTTTGCTAAATTTATAAGCCACACGTAAACATACAGAAGTGGTAGGTCTTATCCATGTAGTTATTGGACATTTGTTATTTCTTCCTTCATGTATTACCTTTTTATCTTTGTATTGAATTTGAATTATCAGTCTTTTTTTTTAATGGTATCTGTTTTTGAGATCATACTTGAACTTTTCCCAACTACTTTCTTCTAGCACTTTTGTACTTCATTCTTGATATATAACTTGTGTCCATTAGAAATGTATTTTGGTTTAAGGAATGAATTTATTATGCCCTTCCTTCTTTCCATGAGGTTATCCAGTTCTTAAGATCACAAGTCAGAAAACTTTTCTGTAAAGGATCAGGTAATGCCTTTTAATATGTAGGGTTTTATAGCTGTCATTTTTGTTATATTTTTCTGATTGGTTTTGTATGGATATGTAGAATGTGTGTGTGTTTGTGTATTTTATAACCAACTTCCTTACTGAATTTTTATTAGTTTTTTAAATTTGGAATGTGGGCTCTAGGAATCCTACTTTATGAACTTATATCTTAGCTACATGATTTACTAGCTCTGTTGTCCTGGGCAAGATTTTTAGTATGTGTCTCAGTGTTCTCATCTGAGAACAATCCTAGTTGCCATAAATAACTGCTGCAGGTTAACACAAGCATGAAAGCTAGGTATAAATTCAAAATGGTTGCTGTTTTATCAAAATAAGGAAGTAGTCTGTGTTCACTACTTTTAAGACTTTTTTAAAAAGTATAGCATCACACTTCCATGTGACAAAAATAAATAATAGTATATGACTCATGGGTTATTGGATGGATTGAAGGAATAACTGCAAAACTTTCAGAAGCTCAGAAAGCAAATATAAATAAATGTTGTTATTAATGTGAAAATAAAGTGCAACATTATTATTCCATTGATTTTCTTCAACTTTTTTATATATATCACATGCAAATAATTATCTTTTTGTCCTTTATAATATTTTTGAAGAGAAAAAATTTAAATATATTTGGGGTAATTTTATATTTTTGTCTGTCTGCAAAATTAGAAAATAATCTTAAATTGTAATTTATGGTAAAGCACAACTGACCAGTAGTTGATTGAATCTTGAAGCCCCCTGTTAAAAAAATAAACCAAAAAAATCAGTTTCCCGATTTCTCCTGTTCATAGAACATAAAATGTAGTTTCTTTATCTTATGCATGGCTGTATAAATATTTGGGAAACTGGTTTATTTGAGACGTTTACTAGTTAAATTGACATGTATATGTCTTCTTTGGAATTCACTAATTTTGCTGACATTTCTATTTTGAAGTATAAAAGTAATTTGTAAGTATTATCTGTTACTTAAATGTATTCATGTGATTGAATAAATCATAGACAGTTTTAGTTTTTTTAAATGGTATTTTAATTGCTAACATTTTCTATTTCTAGTTTTATGAGTCTTTGTATACTTCATGGTTCTTAAGCATTATCATTTTAGAAGCAGCCTTATGGGAGCTTCTTTTCCCTTGTTTTAATACAGGCTGTAAAGACATGGAAGTGTGACACTATACTTTCTAGAAAAGTCTTAAAAGTAGTGAACACAGACTATTTCCTTATTTTGATAAAACAGCAACCATTTTGAACTTATACCTAGCTTTCATGCTTATGTCAACCTGCAGCAGTTATGGCAACTAGGATTTCTCTCAGACCAATTAGTAAAATACTGTATTAAAATCTAGTATAAAATAAGGATATTTTTGATTACTACTGTCATTGTCATACTCATGACTAGTATACTGCAGTTATGCTGACTGACTGCAGCTCATTGAATTTGTTCTGTCACAGGACATTGGCACTTTCTGTTTTCAGATCTATAAATGGTTCTCTCTCACTAAATCTACTACAATATCTTACCTAAGTAGGCTTCTCTCTAATATCACTTTTCCTAAGTATCCTTGTATATATACTGTCAGTACTAGTCCCACTATCATTCTAAATTCTTTCTTGCATTTTAGCAATCCTAACACCTACCTCTATGTGAAAGTACATATTTATTGTTTAGGCATAAGCCTTTCTATAAATTTGTTCTTTGATCTAAAATTCAGACACTGTAATACAGTGCTCATTACTATACTTTTCTTCGGTCCCTGGCCGCCGGGCGAGGGTCCCACATGGCGCGCAGACCTCTCCTGCAGCCCGCTGCTCCCCTCAGCAGTGTACTTCGGTCCTTCTGCCTGTTCTGCTCCCTGCTCTGGCTCTGGTGAATTCTCTCGCCCTCCCGCGCTTCTGACTGTATCCAGTGCTTGTATAAATAAATAAATAAATCTTAAAAAAAAAAAAAGGAATTTGAATGTTAAATGTTTACTAGGACATCATTATTAACTATTTCAGCTTATACTACACTTTTTGAAAATGATCTTGAAAACAATGTTTTAATCAAAATTACTTGAAATATCTTGTAAACTTATAATTTGCTATCTGATTTATAGGTTCTGTGACTTAGTCACTGTTTTTCTGCTACTTGTCTCTTCTTTTGGACATTTAAATATATTAATCTTCTCATAGTCTTTTCTTTTGTGCCTGTTTGCTGAATTCAGTGACTTTATTTTTTACTGTTTTTAATTTTAAGATGTTCTTCAGATTCTATCCAAATTTAGCATTTTCTCTCCCTTTGTCTCTTTTTCAAATTTGTAGATATGGTATAGTCAATCATACTTGTTCTGGAATAATAATAGAATGCTAGCAATTATATCATAGCCATACATTTAAGTATATTATACAATGAAATTTTAAAGAACATTTGAAAATTTATTTCATTTTTATTTTATTTTTTTAAGATTTATTTTTTATTTATACAAAGCTGGGGAACAGGCCAGAGGCATGGGAGGGTGAGAGGATTCACTAGAGACAGAACAGGCAAAAGTGGGGAGTGGGGAGCAGAACAGGCAAACAGACCAAAAGTACTCCTGAGAGGAGCAGCGGGCGAGACAGGAGAAGTCTGCTGCGTCATGTGGGAATCTCTGTGGCTGGCTGGGAATCAAACCCGCACTGCAGAGCCTGTGGACAGCTTCACAGTGCTGTGCTCAACCCTCTGCGCCACCGGGGAGGCCCTTTGTTTCATTTTTAAATGACTTTTGTGACTTTTGAATCTTTACTTAATAAAACTCTGTTGCATTTTGAAATCATTTATCTTTATGTAGAAAATGTAGTTGATTTTAATGTTTCTTAAAAAAGGTTTTGTCATTGCAGGTGTATTTATGGGAGGGAGTAATTAAGAAAGGTATCACTATTAGCAGGAGCAGTATTGAATATTTAAAACTTGTGTTATGGCTTGCTAACAGGAGCCAGATTTGCCTTTTATAAGCTTTTAAAATAGACAAATTCTAAACAAAGATCTTAGCTTTTTATAATCCTGGATTTCAGACTTGAATCTAGTAAAAATAGAAGTAATTTTAAAAACAGTTTCTAATTTGATTTCTTTGATATCTTATATATACATTAAACAAAAAATAAAAGGGTTCTTTGTTGCTTCAAGGAAATAACTTGATTCACCTTACTATTTCTTTTAATTATTTCTTGGTTTTTATTGTTTTACTGAAGTGCATGTTATAGGCTGAGAAATGAGGAAAAGTATAGTTATGATTTTTTAGACTGAAGTCATGATAAATAGGTTTTAACATTCTCCTGATTATGTAATACTTAGTGTTTTCCTACCAGTACCCCCCAAGAACATAAATTCTCTTTATTTTACCTCAATTTGTGATGATGAACTTTCTTTAACTCCTTATGCAAAAATTTATTTAATTTTAGGGTACTCGTCAATAAATTCCCCAAAAGTTGAATAACCCTCTATGACTGCTGTTAATAAGAGCCAGATCTGCATTGGGAGGAAGATTGGCTTATTAGCAACTGCTGCTACCATTTGTTAAACACTTAAGCTTACTGGGTGTCATATTTTACTTCATTTAATCTTCACTTTAGCTCTGAGGTAGGTAGTGATATTTCCATCTAATAGGAAGGAAACAGAGGCTAGACTGTCCTATATTTATGTGGCAGAATCAGGATTCAAACCCACATTTTTTTCCTTACTCTCAAGCTGGGTTATTTCTTATTAAGCTGCATTCCCTTCCTTAATGTATCTGTTGATCTAAAGTTCTCTGTTTTTCTAAGAAATTTACCTTTTGGTTATTACATTTCAGCATTTAAAAAAAAATATTTTTATTGTCTATTAATTGTAGTTGTACCAGCATGCATTTCTTGGGTATTTCTTTGCCTTCATAAATAACATTTCCCTCACTTTATTGTGTGTTAAATCCATTTTTAACACTGATGTAGTTCATGAGGCATGCTTTTGGAGTTTAAAATTACACAGTGTTAGGGATTGATTTGATAAGAAATTATATATTTGCATTTTGGACACATTTTAAGCAGTCATTTTAGCATGTTTGTATAACTGACCAATGCTTTGTTTACATAGATGTTTTGAAAGTTATAGTCTATTAAACTTAATATTATAAACTACTTTCATATTCCTTTAATTCGGTGTTTACTAATCTTCATGTACCCACATCTAGAGAAAATGATAATATTTAGTATGTCATAATGGTAAATGGATGACCCCAGTGCTTTTGGTCTCAAGTACTTGGCCCTAGGCCTCAAGCCCCTCTGTGGTCATGCTGTGCCTTCCAGTATTGAAAGGGCTGGTATCTTGACACACCTATAATTCATTAATGACTGTGTAACCTTTGTGAAAAAATAGACTAAAGGTTCTGTTCTTTGGAGTTATGTATTAAATAAACATAAATTTCTGTGAAAACTAAGTTTAAGTGGTCCATTCTAAAATGATCACATTATGGATCATTCTAAATCATTGCTGGCCTTAGAAACAGCTATAATCATTTGCTTTCATTTGTAGTTTGTACTAACAATAGGTAATCGTGATTCTTAAGAATTTTACGTAAACCTTTTACCTGCTATCACCAGTTAAAGTTCATTATATATTACACATTTCCTTTGATCTTGCAATTTGGAAATGAACCTTTAATGTGTTTTAAATATTTCCAGTTATGTGGTAACGGTAAGGATGACTACACCTAGCAAAAGAATTTGATCAGGTATAAAATGCATATTCAGGTTAATTTTAGATTGCACACCCTCTGCATTTGAAAAGGAGTATTTTTGAATTTTGATGCTTTTTTTTAAAAATTAGAATTTGTTACTATATTTAAATGCTGCTGTTTTTAGGTAGGGTGTAACTGAGCCCTATCTTAGAAGAGTCTGAAGTATATCATTAGTTTCTAACTACTGTTTTATACAATTTTTTGGTGAATTTTAGAATAATTAAAACCACTCAAAATTTTGACTTCAAAACAGCTAAAATTAGTGTTGTATGAAATCTCTAATGTTTAAATATTTTTCCTCATGGTTTGATGTGGTCGTTGTTAGCATAGTTCTTCTCTGGAAACTGCAGATTAGCCTCTGATAGATAGTTCCCTGCCTGGTACTTCTCCACCCACCTCCTTTTTCCCTGTTCTTTTCCATTTCAGCAGGACAACAAATACTGTTGCTCTACCACCAGAGTGCCTTTCCTCAGTAATTTCACTTGTACTGTTCTAGATTAGTATCTAACCATTTCCATCTTTTCTGCTTTTGAAATTGCCTTTTCAAAGCAGTTTGATAATGTCATTTTCTTGCTTAACTTTTTTTTCCTCTTCATTATCATAGTTGGTAGCCATCTTTGTATGGCATTTAAAAAGACCCTTTACCATCCAACCTCAGTATACTCTCTTTATTTTCCATTCTTCTATGCCCCAGTCTGCAGTGAAGTGAGCCTTATCTCTTTTCCCCAATTATCCTATTACCTAGTCACTCATATATCTTATTTTATTTGTGTTCTGATTATATCACTAACTTAAATCACACTTGAACTGTGTTTTTTCAGCCTGAAATACTCGTTATCTGTACCTACATCAGATATTACTGCCCTACAGAGTACTTCTGTTACCTCTCCCTTATTTAGAATTGTCTTCATCCCGTGATGTTTTCTGTTTTCTATAGAGCATGTACTGTATTGCATCTTAGAATGAATTAGGTACATAACTCATTCTGTTATTCCACAATAGCCTTCCACTTACATTATAACTCTCTTTATGACATACATGGTCCATGCTGTATTTAAGGTGTTTCGATGATTATTATAAGACACAGAATATACAAACACGTACCAGTATTCACAGAGTTCCATTTACTCACCTTAAATATCTACTATGTGCATATACTACCACATTCCATGCTAGTCTCTATGAGGAAATATGAATATAGCTTATTCCAGGAATGTTACATGCCTTCAAACAATTTATGTTCTAGTAGGAAAAAATGATATTGATGCATTAAGTTTAAAAGCAATTGCTGTAAAATTATCTGATAAATAGTATAAATAGTAATGTATATTTTTGTCAGTATTTTTGACTTTTTCTTTGGTATTGTATTTTCTTTCCATTTATTGCATGGTTATGAATATGATTAAGAGATATATCTACCCATTTGATACACATCTGTTCTTATAAAATACAGAACTTTCTATCTAGGTGATTTTATTTTTAGTTTAATAAAATGACTAGAATTTTAATGTATTATCTTAGAAACAAGTCACTTATGTATTTATATAGACTGGCTTTTTAAGATACTGTCTTCTTGTTTTTGTTAGCCTCATTTTATTTTTTCACAGAAGTAATAGTGTTCCTGTAGTTTCATTTATAGTAATATGAAAAAACTTCTGTAGTAATTAAAAGTTCATTCCAATCCACACAGATACTTTCATTCAATCTTGGTATTAGGAAATAGCGACTTTATTATATGTTTGTTTTATGTTTTTCTGAACAATGAGAAGTGTAGGTTTGACTCACATGGTATGTACAGATTTGTAAAGTGTAAATGCAATGTTCTATGTACTTTCTTTTATGCTCTAATATAATTAATTTGTTTCTAGATGCTGGCATCACCATCTACATCAGGTCAGCTGTCTCAGTTTGGGGCAAGTTTATACGGGCAACAAAGTAAGAATTTTGTATTTATTCTGGAATACTTTATTTAAAGAAAAAAAACTACCAAATAAAGAAAAAATAGTGCCGCCCTTGTGGGTATATCCTAGGATTTAAAAGGAAAGATAATTAAATTTTCAGTTTTCTTTATTTCACTTGCCATAACAAAACCTCATTATTTCAGTCCTTTCTAATTTATCATTTGTTGTTATTTGGATATAGGATCGATTGAAATTTGTTTCTGCATCTTATGTTCATTTGCAGTATTCTTGAAGAAGAATTTGCTAAACAAATTAAAAATAGACATCCTTGCAAGAGGAAGTTACAGGTTTTTTTGTTGGGGGGGAACCGATTGATTAAGTTGTCTATTTTTGTTTCTTGGCCTTTTTTATTGTAAAGCTCATTACTTAGCAGTTTGTGAAACATTCTTTGTTTAGCAAATATTTCTTCCTTTCCCTTAGCTCAATCCTGGCACAAAATTTGTTTTGACTCACAGATCAAAGCTTTTTCTATATGAAAGATTCATTTCTTTTAAAGTATTGAAATACTTTTATAGCGCTTAGCACAGTGCCTGGCGCATAGTAAGCGCTCAATAAATGTTACCCACTATCATAAAATTTTTATAAAACTAAATTATAAAATCTTGCTATTTTTGTCAAATTAATTTTCCCAATTATATAAGATTTTATCATCTCTGTTAATGTCAGAGACTGCTGATCTCTCATCTCTATTAATGGGAAGGGGAGTGTTAAAAGGGATGTAAATTCCCATTAAAGATTACAGAATAATTGGGTAAACTGGAGATGACAACTTTAATGATTGTCTTAACCAGCTTCAAATGAAAATCACTTATTTGATTTGAAATGCTTTACCAGTATAATAAAAGGCAAAGTTTTGGCAGGTATCAGACTAGTTTGTCATACCATTTTACTCTTCAAAATAATTTTGAAATTTCGTAGAGGGAAGAAACTTAATTTGTTAGAAAGACATAATTTCCATCTACTTTTTTCTCTCCATCTTTTGTATGTGGCCTTCCTCTTTTGATATGGAACACAATTTTGTTAATATGTAATTAGTAAATTATTAAATGCCTATGGATATTAGCAGTTTTCCTCTAGTTAAGTCAAAAACCTTTTAAAACCATTTTTATTACATAAAGGTGTTATATTTTATCCACAATGTTCATACTACTTGTTGAGTAAATTTTATTAGCTAGCTTTTACCTTTCTGATAAGCCCTTCCCATGGAAATATTAATTATTTTAAAGCTACCTTTTACTTCTATAGCATAACTGCAAAGAGTTTATCTTTTAAAACACACAATTTATCACAGAGGAAAGTAGATATAGAATGAAGGGAAATTGTACTTGAGAAGGTAAGGTTATTTGATGAAAAAGAATGACAGTTATCTTACAACATAATTAGCTGTATGGATTTTTAAAATCTGACCTAATTTTTTTTAGTCCCAAATGTGAAATTGTATTGGTCTAAGATAAGAAATGGAATGGGTTTGAAATAGTTATTTTATTAATATGATAGACATTTTTTGACCTTTTAATTTTATAAGTGAGTGTGCTGATTAAGATCATACAAAGATAAATACAAAAATAAATGAGCAAAGTGGGCCTCCCCGGTGGCGCAGTGGTTGAGCGCTGGGTTGCGAAGCTGCCCACGGCCTCCGCGGCGCCGGTTCGATCCCCGGCTGCTCCCTGCCACCGGCCGGCTGCTCCCTGCCACCGGAGGAGGGTCCCACATGGCGCGTAGACCTCTCCTGCCGCCCGCTGCTCCCCTCAGCAGTGTACTTCGGTCCTTCTGCCTGCTCTGCTCCCTGCTCTGGCTCTGGTGAATTCTCTCACCCTCCCGCGCTTCTGACTGTACCCAGTGCATGTATAAACAAAACAAACAAATAAATAAAAGCATGCCTCTATAAAAAAAAAAAGTGATGATAAAAAAAAATGAGCAAAGTTATTTTCATTAGAAAAAGTATTTTAAAGTACTTATTAGTTTAAAAAAAAACCATGATAAATATTTCCTTTTGAGTTCAGCATATAAAATGGCTATATTCCTGCAGCATTGGTGAACCAGTCCTTTTATGTATGGCTCACTCTTTCAATTGACATTGTAGTATTAGACTACAGAAAAACTGAACCTTAGAGCAACTGGAACTGAAATATCTCAAGACTGGGTACAATATTTCCTTTCCAGGATACAAACTAGAAGCCTACAGTTAGTGAAAAAAGAGATTGGATTCCCAGTTTTTCTGTGTTAGAATAGATCTGAGAGGGCCAGGTAGTTTATTTAGCTATAAGTAGTCTGAACACTCACCCTGTCAGAGAGAACACCAGCTGCTGTGTGGAATAAGTTATATTGATAAAACTTGAAGAGCTCACTTTAATAAAGAATGGGGAGATAAAATAAGATGGGAGTAGATTAGTGATAATATTCTTATGGCAGCTGTTTTTAATTGTGCATTGTGTTTGAAAGTTCAATAAGAATTTGTACCATTAGAATGGATGTGTACTATCTGTTGTGTTCTTGATGACTTAGAGAGGTGAGAGGTGGAGAAGGAAAGAGTGCCTTCTCCAAAACTGAGACTCAACTGAGATTAAACAAGGGAGGGAATTCCTCTTGGACTGGATACAGAGCTGCTTAAACCTACATTTTGCCAGGTTTGAATAGAAGTGATGGGGTTTTCATAAGGGTACCCAGAAAATACTGGACTGGTGCTGTTTTGTAAGATCACAGATTCTAGTATAGTATGATTGTATCCAAATACATAAGTAACTTTTCACTCAAGGGTTCATCTGTATAAGATGCACCAGGTGAAAACTATAAAAACCAGTGAATGGAATTTTGTATTCAAGTTACCTGATATTCTTTACTTGTATGGCTTGAATATGTGCATAACTGTAAAGGTATACTTTACAGGTATATAGACCCCTGGGATCCAGAAGCTGTCTATAAGTTGGAATGAACAGGGAACCAGGAATTAATTTCTGTTGAATAGTCAGTGCATTGAAATTAAGTGGGTGTGTAGTTGTAATTACTTTTTCTTACTTACCAACAAATATAGTGTCTTGGAGGAGGAAAAGGAAAATATAATTATTGGGTGCTTTCTATGTGCTTAGTATTTTATAGTCACATAAGCTAAATAGTTGTCTGGATTAATCCGTTCATATTTGTATCAGAAATTCTCAGAGGAGTTAAGTCTCTGCCTGGGAAAGGAAATATACTTACCTTTCTGGGATCCAAACTCCTTGGTGAGAGCAGTGTCAGAGTCTCATCCTTTCAGCAGCATCCCTTAGTGTCCTGTTTTAAGAACAACTTTGTGAAGACTATTTGTTTGGTGGTATACCTGAGCAAAGGTGGGTAGTTCAGAAGTGATACTAGTGATGGTGTAGTTATCCATATGGCTCAATTTGGCAGTGTCAGGAAATTGTAGGACCATCTTACAAATGCATGAATTAATATTGAATACTCTGGGAGATGTTGCTCTCAAGAAGCACACATTGTAGTTAGGGAGATCAAGACATTTTTATATATAAAATATTAAATAACACTCTACATTGCTAGTGCATAGATCAAAAGGTTGAATGTTGAATAGTACAGGCAAACTTTTATACTCTAGAGAGAAACACATGGTAAGCTATTATGGTAAAATAAAGCTTCAAAAAAGAAGTAGAAGTGGAATTTAACAGCTACTGAGTGCCTTCTATACATAGTATAACAAGGTAGATATTGTAGATATGTTCTAGAAGACATCACTCACTCTCATGCCACCTTGGTACAGTGTAAATTCTACTGTTATGTTACTGCTCTTGCTTTTATTGCATGTCTTTCATTGCCTTTGTAACCTCAGTACTCTGTTCATGATAGGCACTCAGTAAATGTTTATTGACTATATGATAAGTAAAATACATGTAGTGTAGTAGGATAAGATACACAAGGCATAGGTGAAGTAGTACAGAATTGTCTGGGTATTTCAAAGGCAAGGCTATGTTACATGTCTTGGAGGATTTACATGAGGTTATTTTTGACATTGGCCTTCAAGAGACTATGGTAAGTTTGTTTTAGTAGGGGGAACAACATTCACAGCATGGAATAGGTTTTGGGAGTGGTTCAGCTCATCAGGGCGAAGGAAACCTACTAGGATATTGCTGGTTTCAGCCAAGAATTCTGCAGAATTCTGAAGAATAATGTATCTCATAATCTTAGATATTTTTCCAAGTTCAGGAACATAGCTATAGCAAGCATACAATAAATCTGTGAATTTTGAATTGAGAAAAGCAGTTTCAAGTACCTACCCATGAGTAACGTATTATTCCAAGATCTAAGACATTTGGGATAGTTTGGAAATAGAGCTAATATTTTTGGTGATGTGCAGGACATGAAAGAAAGAGAGGGAGCAAGGATTTTGTGTTTTTTTTTTTTTAAGGTTTGAGGCCTGCATTTCCTTGTGAATGGGTACACTAATCTATAATGGAGGAAATTTATTTTATTTATTTGGTTATTTATAACCCTCCCCTTATAATGGAGGAAATTTAGGTTGAAGATGTACAAAGTTTATGTAGGTGATTGACACAGCTGCTCCACAGCTAGATTTGCAATTCTTGCAGAGGTCAGTGAAATACTATATGGGACATTCAGCTGGTTTTAGCGTAGCAGCTTCTTACAATTCATAATTTTGAAGATAGTTAGCGCTATCCATGCTTCTTACCTCATACCCAGAAGCAAGTCTGCTCCTCCAGTGACCTCATTTCATGAAATTTATGAAATGAGGGGTTTTTTTTGCTGGGGTTTTTTTCCTGACTAAACTGGTCAGAAATTTTTTTTGCCCACCAAGCTCATCACCACTATTGAATACCTGGCTAAATATCTTTCATTGTTTATTTCATGTTCTTTCTCCTCCAGGAAACCTTTTCTGGCCCCAAGGCCATCTACTTTCATGTCTGAGTTCAATATATATATAGGGTGTGGGTGTGAGTGTGGGTGGGTGTGTGTGTGTGTAGAGGGGGAGAGAGAGAGAGAGTGTGTGTATACATATATACACACATATATATCTTTTGTAGAAAAAAGTATTCTAGGTGGACTGAAGGTTATGAGTAAAGGTGCAGAGGCAGATTGGGGGAGGGAGAAAAAAGGAAGATTTTAAGTAAAATATGTAATATGTAAAAACAGTGTGTTGGGGTGGGTGAAATATTAAGATTAGAAGATTCAGATACCAATTATGTCTTAATAAAGATGGGGAAAAATAAAATAAAGATTATCAGACACTTTGGGGTCCTGACAGAAAACATTATGGACTAAATTGGAGTTGGATTTTAATGCTGTAGGATAGTGGCTTTCATTCCTGACTCTGGAAAACTTCAGCTCTGGGAATACCTGGAGAGTTTTTAAAAATCTCACTGCCCATGAATTACTCAGATACAAAGGAAGTCATAATTCTGCATATGGGGCCCAAATATTACAGTTCCCCAAATGACACAAAAGTTAGCAACTAGTAAGAAGTAGAAAGTGATTGGTTGGGGAAAAAAAATAGAAATAGAAGTCAAGAAATTGGATCATTATTTTTATTTTTCAGTAATTGTTATTTAATGCCTGATGTTAAGTCTTCCTCTGTAATTTAATTGTATGACCTTCCATTGGTAACTTAGTTGGATGATCTCTGGAGATTTTTGTATTTCCAAAATCCTTTGATTGTAGTGAAGGAAATTGCATAGTGAAATAATGTTACAGGGAAGATTAACCAGCAAGTACAGGACAGATTGGAGGTAAGATGATTTATTCTTTGTTGGTGTGGGCAGGATAGTGAATTCCTAGGGGAAACTAGTTGCTTTGGGAATGAAAAGGGGGACACTTTAAACACTGTTGCATCAGTTAAAGATTTTCTTTCTTAGAAAAGATTTTAGGAGATTTAAGTATGAGTATTCAGGGATTTGGTTGCTGTGATTAAATTTTTTCTTAAAATTTTCTTATTAATACTTATATTTACTGAAAGATTGAAGGGCATATTTTGCCACAGGTGTTTAAAGAATGTGCTATTAAATCAGTTGTGTGGTGGAAATAATTCATTAAAGCATTTCTTTGCATTTTCCAATATATTGGAAATCTTTTCCTATGATTGTTTCTAATTATACTAGTGAAGAATAAAGTTCTCGGGCCTCCCTGGTGGCGCAGCGGTTGAGCGCTGGGTTGCGAAGCTGCCCGCAGCCTCTGCAGCGCCGGTTCAATCCCCGGCTGCTCCCCGGCCACTGGAGGATCCCCGGCTGCTCCCCGGCCACTGGCGGAGGATCCCGCATGGTGCGCAGACCTCTCCTGCCGCCCACTGCTCCCCTCAGCAGTGTACTTCGGTCCTTCTGCCTGCTCTGCTCCCCGCTCTGGCTCTGGTGAATTCTCGCACCTTCCTGTGCTTCTGACTGTACCCAGTGCTTGTATAAATAAATAAATGATTCTTTAAAAAAAAATAAAAAGAATAAATTTCTCCTTCTGATCCTATGCAATTGTACTAGTTTGATTAAAATAACACATTTAATGACTCCAGTGTATTTTGTTTTCTGAAGAATAAATCTGCATATTTTCCTATTCAGTAATAATCTTTATGTTCTAAAAGAATTAGTTTGTAAATTACATTTAAAATAACTTGATGATTATTATTAAGTATTCCGAGGCCAGTCATCCACTTCGAAATTCATGTACTACTCTCCAATCTTGTCTTTCAATACCTACTATTTTAACAAAGTGCAACTCAAATCTTCTGAATTTATTAGCTGTTTTTATGAAGTAAATAATGTTGAAGGAAAATAAATACAAAACCTTTGTTCTTCATGCTGTCTTCCTCTACTCTCTGGACTGTAATTAGTTCAAATATGCCAATCCGTAATTGACCAAATAAATAGCCTTCCTTGTTCTTGTTTTCTTCTCCAAAAATTTTTGTGCCAATATTCAGAGAATCTCCAATTTCTAAAGTATTTCTGAAATTACAATTTTTTTGTAAGATAGCACAGTATTATGTGTTATATATATATATATGTTTATGAAGTAAATGTCTTGCAATGAGTCTTTTGTAGTATTTATAGATTATTAGAAAGGAGCCAAAGATACAAGATTTTTGGAAATGTTTGTCTATAATGGTGAAGATGTAGAAAGAGTGCAGAGGAAAGGGAAAATAGATCTAGAAGAATAAAAACTTGACAATATAGAGAAAGAGAAAGAAAATGGAAGAGAACAAGAGGTGGAGGTTTAAGAAAAGTGAAGAAAAGTAAACATCTTCGAAAGAGAAATAGCGAGAAAGAAAATAGAATAAAGAATTGTTATAATTCAGTAGGCACTCACATGGGTACTAATTGTTATGTTGGAGTCCCATTGTGCTACTGTTAAGACACTAGAAGTTAAGAGATCTAAAGTCTAGTCTTGTTTCTTTATATATCACCTTGGAAAAATCAGTTAACTTATCTGAGACACAGATTCCTCATCTGTAAAATGCAAACATTGAATTAGGTGATCTTTAAGATCCTTTTCAACTCAAATTGTGTAGTATTTCTTGGTGGTCAGTAATGATAAGAAACACATTTCTGTGGAGAAATTTGCAGTTATAGCTTACTTTAGGACAGCGTGTTTTGGGAGAAGGACGGATGTAAGCTCCCTTGGGTTAGATCCATTTTTGTCTGTTTTTCACTACTGTGTTCCCAGCAGCTAGCACAGTGCTTTAACACATAGTAGGCACTCAGTAAATGATTGTTGAATGAGTGTTGTTAAAAGTGTCACTTTGGTCGTTTATTAGGGGAGCACCTAGATGGCCTGTAGAAAAAGAGAGAAGGAAAAAACAGATTTCTTCTGAAGAAATCTTAAAAATGAGCTGATACATAATCTCTTGTTCTTCCTTATTTTGTCCCACATTCAATGAAAGTGGCCACAGCTAAGGGGCAAGCTCATGGTCACAATACTTGTAATAACTAGAATATACATTAATGTTGTGTCAAAACATGACAACATATAGTCTATGCCAGTTCCCTTTGAGTGACTTAAAGAAAAGCGGAACCAAGCTCAGATCTTTATGAAAAATGAAGAGTACACTTGGAATATAGTAGCTATCTAAATTTCAACTGGGTTCCTTGGCTTTATTCAATTGAGAAGGAAATCTAGACTGAGTAGTGAGTATGCTAGATTGTAGTAGTTACATATCAGTGTACTCTTTGTGATTCACTGGTATCCCTAGGTTTGAAGGTATTACAATGACATGCCAAAAGGTAAATTTTGCAAAGATATGTAAAGGAAAACATACATAGCACTTACAGTACTACAATGTTTTGAAAGTTACAGTTTCAAAGTTTTCAGGTGTTTGAAATTCTTGGATCCAAAATTAGACCCAAAAGCAGGGGAAATGTCACCATAAATTCCTAGCTCAAGTCATCTACTTTTTCATTAGCTCTCCATGTTCTCACTTTTATTTAATCTCTAATTCAGAATAAATTTGGTTGACTGATGTGCCATTCTACAGCAGATGATAAAGTGCTAGAAGTTGCGGGTTAGAAAACTGAAGGCATATGCTCTGCTCCCCGCTCTGGCTCTGGTGAATCCTCTCACCCTCCCGCGCTTCTGACTGTACCCAGTGCATGTATAAACCAAAAACAAACAAATAAATAAATAAATAAAACATGCTTCTATTAAAAAAAAATAAAATAAAATAAAAAAAAAAAGAAAACTGAAGGCATAGAGACATTCATAGGCAGATAGAATGATAATATAAGTGACAACTGAACATCCTTACTTTGAGGATAAAAGGGGGGGAAAAGAAATATCTAGAACACTAGCTATCTACGACAATTATTCTGGATCATCTAAAATATAGTAGTTTATTGTTTTATGCTATATTTGTTAGTAATTAAAAGCAAAAAGTATGTCAAATTTTTGAAGTAAGTTAATCCCTGTGGTTAATTTTTTTTTAATTGCTTTGTGTCAGAATGGTATATCTCAGTAGTCTAAAAAAATGCATCTATTGAAACACATCTATCCCTTTATGTGACCCCAGGAGTACGAGACAAATAGAGGGTCATTGTACTTTGAAATCCTTTTAAATATTTGAAATGTTTGTCTTTTAGATCTACATCAGGTTGAGTTTTTAGTACTTGCTGACATTTTATGTTAGATTTATAAATATTAATGTTGAGGTTTATGAATGTATAAATAGTAATAAAGAGATTTTTCTCTTAACTATTTTAAAAAAGGATCATATAAAAATTAGAGCTATTTCAGTAAAACAGGGTTAAATGTCTGTGTACCTCAGTTAAGATTTAAAACATAAAAATACAAGATTATAAATTTAGATAATATTTATACAATGATTTTATTGAAATAATTCATCTAACTTTTTATAGTCATTGACAGTGTAAAACAAATATGAAGATAGAAATAGGAAGGTGATACTCATAATATTAAATTTCAGACTAATGTATGTTTTTGTTAAAATCAGTATTCCCTTTGAAGTGAATTGAATATATCTCTAAAATTTTTATATTAAAAATCAGGTCATTTAAAACTGTTTTAAATTGCCAGTTCCAGAAGATGGATAACAATTTCATTCCTGATGGCAATGAATTTCCTTCTTCTAAATTTTTTTAATAGGTGCACTAGGCCTTCCAATGAGGGGGATGAGCAACAATACCCCTCAGTTAAATCGCAGCTTATCACAAGGCACTCAGTTACCGAGCCACGTCACGCCAACAACAGGGGTACCAACAATGTCACTTCACACGCCTCCATCTCCAAGCAGGTATTTATTGATGGACCAGAATATTTTCAGAATGTATCGTTGTAGAATAAGCAGACTTTTTAGTTTTTCAATAAGGTAATTATTTGATTTTTCTGGTTCAGTGCCTTTCACTGAGGAAAAGAAAGTTACGCCCTATGCTTATTTCATTGCAAACTGATAAGTATAGTGCAAGACATGTTTATCCTGCAGCTAGTACTGGTTGTCAGCTGGGTGGGTATGAAGGGTTAATCACCACATGGGGATCTCTTTGAAAGCCAGCTCCTTCTTCAAGGGAGGGTGTGCAATGTAAAATTACTCCTCAGGTATTTGTGATCATTGCTCTCTTACCCACACATCCATTGCTTTAGCAGAGTAAAAGAAAACAGATTATATAAATGATGCATATTAATAGGAAGATACAATGACATACATTTGGAATGAGAATATAAATACATGTATGAAATTTGTATTTTTCATCCAGTCACATTATTTCTTTCATCTTAGATATCACCTTTATATTAGTCTCACTGTAATTTGCCCTTTCTTGTTGATTTAATTTTTCTTTTCAAAGAACTAGAATGACTAAGCAAAAGAAGTACATAAATAACCATGCAATTTGAAAATATACTTGAGCAATTTCTAAGATTAGACCAATTGATTATTTATAGAGAATTTTAATGAGTGATTATAGAGAGCTTATTTAGTATAATGGACTTCTCTTTCAGGGGTATTTTGCCTATGAATCCTAGGAATATGATGAACCACTCCCAGGTTGGTCAGGGCATTGGAATTCCTAGCAGGACAAATAGCATGAGCAGTTCAGGGTTAGGTAGCCCCAACAGAAGCTCGCCAAGCATAATATGTATGCCAAAGCAGCAGCCTTCTCGACAGCCTTTTACTGTGAACAGGTAAGATGCTTATTGATACTGTGTATAATTGTCTTTTTTGGGTATTGTAAAATTTACTTTTTCATATTCAGCACTCTGTTTCTTGAGTCTTAGCTTCTTCTGTTTCATAAGCGTGTTTCATCATATAATTACAACCAAAGATTTTCTGTTTCACATCACAACTTGAACATCCCTAAACTAAAGATTCGTTTTTTGGAAAACCATTTCGATTTTTAAAAGCATATCAAAGCTTTTCATTGTTCTTAGAAAAGGATTGTTGTTATGATGCCATCAGGCAGAATTTTGTTAGTATGTCTTGCCTCTTATATTAAGTGAGGTTGGTCACCTGTGTGGTAAGATTTCCAGACTTAGTAGGACTGGAGACGTTTGATTATTACTGCCGTTACTTCTCTTATGGTTAGGTACCTTTTCAGCCAAAATTGAGTTTTGTGCTTTGGAGATTTAACGACTAAAATCCAAATACATCTACAGTGTTTGAAGAGTGATATATCCTAGGATTTAAAACAAAATTAACTGTTGTGCTTTTTCACTCCTTTTGTACTCCATTGCATACACTGCTATGCAAATAATAGCAATATGAAGATACATATCTACTTCTTTAGAATTTTTAAGCAGTTTAGGTATTTTATGAGATTTATCTACAATAAAGACTTTCTTATTAAAATCTTAAGCTTTTTTGCCAATTTTTTTTTTTCTAATGGGGAACTTTGGGAGAAAAGGGACCTTGATCTAGTTACTATCAAACCTGTTTAAATTACTTTCTTCTATGTAGTACTTGTAATATCTGATTAAAATGGGCTGTTAGCACATTTCTTCATCTCATTAACTCCTATTCTTTTGTTTAGATTTATGAGCATATCTTTTATAATTCTACCGCTTTTTAAATTTTTTTAAATGTTGTTTGTAAAGGGTCATCAAAATTCTCATCTCCTTGATAACTTCTTAATCATATAATACTTCTTGGGCTTTATCACAGTTTTTCTGCATTCTTCTAGTATTGTTCATTGAATGTATATTAAAAATTTTGCCTTTCCATGTTTTTCAAATTTTAATTGTTTTTGAAAAATACTTTGCTTATAAATTGTCAATGAAACACAGGTTTCTAAATTCCTGCTTATTATTGTTGACAAGTTGTATTATAAAATGTTTTCATATCTTAGCATTTCTTTAATGTTTGAGGGTACACCTATATCACCAGCAATTCCAACATGCTATTAATAAGCAAAAGTTTCCCTTGGCTTTCCTATTCTTCTTTAGAGTATTGTTGTTTCACTGGCTACATATTTTATGAAAATATTGTTTGACCATAGTTAGTTAACAGATATAGGTATAAATCCCTATTTTCAGTTTTATCCTACTCATAAAACTGATAACACTTTTATCAAATTATTTGATGTTAAAGATGTACACTTTAATTGTAGAGTTGAAATTAACAGTTCTTTTTGATTTTCTTAATTACTCCTGGTCTTTTTAAAGTTCAGTCCTAGTACCCGCCCCCACCCCTGTTTAGGCTTGTGCACAAAAAGGGGGGTGGGGAATTCAGTACTAATTGTGCATTAATTTAATCGAGGGCACTGAACAGAGATTTTTTTTTTCTTTTAACTAGCTGAAAGATTGTGTTTAGATAGGAATATGCTTTGGAACACTTAATTCATTTAATTTAGCATCATTTAAAGAAAAGAACCATTTAATTCAGGTTAACTAAATATTGAGGGTCTATTGTATCCTCCTGATTTTAAAGGTAGAAGATGCAAAGATGAGTATGACATGGACTTCATCCATGAAGAGTTTATATTCTAGTAGGGATAGTCACATTCTGCATAAAAAATTATTTGTGAAAAGAATAATAGCACACTGCACCATTAGTCAAGGCAAAACAAATATTCAAGAAGACTAGTCTTTCACTAAACTGTGTGTTTTGAAGTTAGTTACTTCTTCCAGTATATTCAGTAGTAAGTTGGCTCTCCAAGTACAGAAGAGGTACCCTTAATCTTATATATACATTCTTTGATTTTGTTTTTTTAATTAATCTGTTTAAGATGTTTTGGTTCTCAGTTGCTCATGGAAGGACTTTTAAGGGAGTTTTTTTTTTTATGAAAATAAAGATTAAAATTAAAATTAGTACTTGTTTTTAAACATTGCTGTTTTGTATGAGAAGATCAAAAGTATACACTTTTGTTTTTCTTCATCTGTAAGTTAGTGTTCTTACTGTATATCTAAAATTATTTTCTATGTACCCAGTATGTCTGGATTTGGAATGAACAGGAATCAGGCATTTGGAATGAATAACTCCTTATCAAGTAACATTTTTAATGGAACAGGTAAGCTTATTCTGGAGCTAGCACCCTATTAAAAATACAGTAGAGCTTTAAAATATAAAGCAATTCAACCTACTGGTCTTAAAATATAGAAATTTTTTTTATGTTAAATGGTAGAATTTGATTTAGTGAAAATTTGAGAGGAGTAGGACTAATTTGGTGAATAGTTGAAAGATATTTAAATATTTTTTGCATTTGGCAAGGTAATGGCATGGTGTTAAAACATCAAGATCATTTCCTTTAACAAGTACAGAGAGGCTAAATATTACCTTAATCTGTATTTATGCCTCAATCTTTTTGCTTCAAGAGCTTTTCCTATCTCAGTCCTCTCACTGTGAGAACTACATTCTAAAGGAGGTTAGTTGGTATAACATTCTGACTATAAAGACCCAGATTGAAGAAATCTTTAAATTTATATGGAATATTTCCCATTTTTTCTTACTAGTTTGAAATTGATTTTGGCGTTAACCTGTATGAATTTTTCATCCAGATTTTATGTGTAAAATTCAAGTTTTAACACGGACTACCAATTTTGATACTGACAATAGAGTCCTTGCCATCTGTTGGTTTATTTCTTTTTTCAACTGCTTCAGACAGAAGAGAACAGGAAGCTTTGTTGCTATTCTGCTTCTCTCCAGGCCCTTTTTGAAAAATGAAATAAAGGATTTTTGATCATAGGAACAAAAATGAGTAAGATTGTTGAGAGAGAAATATACGTAGAGGGAGTGGAAAGTGAAAGAACGAACAGCAATATGAAGCATATGTAGAAGCAGAAGAGAAGATTTAATAATAAAGTGTTATTTGTGGCTCTGGGCTTTTAATTTTTAAATGTTAATATGTATTTAGTAGTGTAGAGTGATGAGATTCTGAAATTCTAAATTTCAGCATTTGAAAATTACAGTTTTGTGATCAAGAAGTTAAAATAAACTGAATACTATATTCCATTGTTTCTACAAAACACATTTTCCATGTTTTATTTCTGAAATTAGGCTGCATATCTTAATTGGCAAGTTGTTTTCCTAAATGGGACATAAAATAACAGTGAGTTTGACAATGCCAGCTTATATTTTCATTTAGTTTATACATATCCATAAACTCAGAATTATTTTTCATTCATTTTTAACTAAGTATATTTTATACTAGGAAAATTTGTTCCTAGGTCTCTTCATAAAAATATAAATGTGGAGATTTTGTCAACTTTTAGGGAAAAATATATTCTCAAATATTATATGACAATTTAAAATTCCATCATAGAGGACTCTGAACATGTGTTTTAATACATATATTCAGTTTATAATTATAATCAAATAATTTGAATTACTTTGTAAATTAAACCACTGAATTGTTAATTTCTATTTTACTGTCTTGTTTATATCATAATAGTTTAATTCAAAATTCATAAACCAATGTTTTTAAACAATGAATATTAGTAATTTTATCTTTTACACTTCAGTTGTCACCTGACTTGGAATGTTAATAGAGTGTATTGTTTTTCTATCAACATGTTAATAAGTTTCTTTTTGAGATTCTTCCCATTGTGAAACTTCAAACAGAGGAAAAACTAACTGTAAAAAAAAAGTAAAATAAATTGAAAAGTTGTAAAACACTAGATGAAACAAAGATTAAAAAAATTAGTATAGGCTAAAAGTAAGGTAGAAAATGAAGTTCTTCGAAATTTAAGAATACAAGTTGTGAGAATAATAGAATAATAAAAGTTGAGAAGAAATCAATAGAATGATTAAAATAGGCAAAGTTGAAAACAGGATTATTTTTAACTTTTAAAAGGAAGCAAGCTTACCTTTTAAATTTAAAATAAACAAAAATAAATTGTGTTTAATAAATACTTATTGAGCGCCTACTATGTAATAGGTAATATAGACTTTTGGGCTTTGTATCACATTCCCATACTTAACAATTTGCCAGACATGGGAACCACATGTATACCCTACCTATTCTGTCCTACTTACCCCCCTCAATTACAAAACACGGAAAGAAATATAAAATGCATGCATGCACATGTACATATTTGTATGTGGGGCTAATAAACCATAGGATAGCAGGTTTTAGGGCTCTTTTTCCTGTTCCTCAGCTACACAACAGAAGCTCCAAGCATTCCATATAGATCTTGTGTTTTGATACAGGGAAAAGAACAGCTACCTTACAACAATCTCCCTCTTGTTAACTATTAGTTATAACTTTAAATTACCATCTTTCACAGGGGATGTAATAAACCATCTTACTCCTAAGTCTGTAGTGTTTAGAATTTTGGATTTTTATTATATTGGTTACATATTGCTTTGCTGAACTGTTCATAAAATTCTTTCACATGAAGTAAATCCACAAGAATTTATCAAGTACTTACACATATACCTACTACTGTGCTTTGCATTATGAACTGTCATTTCAACTTACATCATGGTTGGTCTATATGATCTCTTTAAAATATTTGTAGAATCAATAACTCGTATGCTTTCTTATTATTTAGATGGAAGTGAAAATGTGACAGGATTGGACCTTTCAGATTTTCCAGCATTAGCAGACCGAAACAGAAGGGAAGGAAGTGGTAACCCAACTCCATTAATAAACCCCTTGGCTGGAAGAGCTCCTTATGGTAATTAAGCTATATAATGATGACCATCAGAAACTTTCCATTTCCAGATATAACATAATGCATGTGTGTGCATTCATGTGTGTGTGTTTTCTAATCAGATAGGTATAATTTTGTCAGTTAATAATATGCAAAGTGATTTTTTTTTTCTCCCAGAATACCATGATAACAAAATTAAGTGAGAAATTTTACTTTGCACAGAAACCTCAAAAGGAGGTCTTCCGTGGTATGCAGAAGTTTTTGTTTTTTGGTTTTTTTTTTGGGGGGGGGGCTATCTCTGCTTTAATACACCTTAAGTGGGTATTTTTTGTTCTGCCATTTCTTCTCAATTTATCACACATTTTGATAAAAGAACACATTCCTAGGGGTTAATAATGACTGACTATACAGTGAAGGGTTTTTTTGTTTTTTTTTTAAGTAAACTTCCATACTGACATTTGAGTTAGATAATTCCTTGTGAATTGCGGGGGTTGTGGGGGTATGGGGAGGTGTTGTCTGAGCATTATAGAATGTTGAGCAACATCCGATGTTTAACAGCCTCTGCCTGCTAGAGGTCAGTAGTACTCCCTATCCTACTCCCCCGCTCCCCTTGTGACAACCACAAATGATTCTGAACATTGGCCTTTTTTTCCATCAGAGGAAAAAAAATTACCTTGTGCTGAGAACCACTGCTTGTGGGTGGTGCATAGTTCATGTAGACTTTTGGTTACCATTAATACTTTTGTTCACTATCTTTAATAACTAAGAGATTTGGCTAATAGAGCCTAAGTGAAAAGATAGGGGCAGCATGAAATGCATGCAGTAACAATTTAGAAATGAAAATTATGTAACAGCAATGTAGCCTAGCTATATTTTAATTTTTTTATCCTTTGCACTTAGTTGTTTCCTGTTAGGAGAATTAGTCGAGACCAATAGTAGAAACAATGCGCATAGAAGAATCATCTCACCCTTTATCTAAAATAACTTTTTCCCATTTTCAACCAAGAAGGACTTTCCATGGCTTTCAGAATGTGAATACTAATAATAATATATGAAAAGGGAAAAATTTATTACTCATGTACTAAAATTTCCAAATCAGTCTTCCAAAAATAATAAAAAATGATCTGCCCTGGAAGTTGAGTACCTAGCTACTTGATTCTCAGTTCAGACTCTAATGTTGTTAACCTTTCCTCATAGGTCCATTTTTTCATCCCTTTAATCATTCCCGTTGCTCTCCTTGGACCATCTCTAGTTTCTCCATATCGTACTTGAATTGTGGAGCCCCAAACTGGATATTGTTCTCCAATAAGGGCCTGACTAATGCCAAGTATAGTGGGAGAATTACTTCCCAGTTCTTGCATGTCTTACATCTATTACATGGAGTCCAAGAAAATCAGAAATAATATGGAGTTGTTTTATAATTGATTGCAATTTGCTCACTCTGTAAGTCACTTTCAAGTAGAATACTGACATGTTCTTTTAAAATTTATTTTGTTCATTTGTATTTGACAATTAACTAGTATTTATTTATATTAGCTGGTCAAATATTAAATCAAGTTTTAAACCAAAAATGTTAATTTTTACCAATGTCAAATTATATTTTAAAGCATCTATGTATGACATTAGATTAGCATTGTAGGATTACCACTTATTTCCCTTGTATTATTTTGCATATTGAGTTATTAATCAGCATGTAAAATTTAGTTCTTCATAGTCATCCTGAATACTAATTTTTGAAGTGTGCTTTCATAGCATAATAAGAAAAACCTTTTGGTGTCTTGTAAGAAAAGTTAACTATAGTTTGTAGCAAAACATCATAAATATCAATTACAATTCTCTGGATTATTTTCATTACGTAGTTGGAATGGTAACAAAACCAGCAAATGAGCAATCCCAGGACTTCTCAATACACAACGAAGATTTTCCAGCATTACCTGGTTCCAGTTACAAAGATCCAACATCAAGTAATGATGACAGTAAATCTGTAAGTAACTGAAAATTACGTATGTGAGTGATGTAGTTTTTCCCTTCAGATTTCTCTTATATTAACAGTTTTATAGACGTATTAAGGATTTACTAAATTCTATTAGAAAATTGTTTATCTTGAATATCTTGTAATAATCTAACTTCTGAAGAATGTGGAAAACCTTTATAACGTAGAAGATAGCCTATTTTTTTCCTATTTCATATAGGTTTGCAAATTTCTGTTGAACTTCTCAGAGATAATTTAGACTTTTATTGTAGTCCCTGTCAGCTGGATCCCATGAAGTTTGATATTATAGCCTTCTAAGGAGCTGTGTTTTTCTTGAGTAAGTTTTCTCCTTGAAGAATCTTTATACACATTTTTATTCCTGTGTTGATTCAGCCAACTCAGCTTCCTCTTTCTGCCTTAACGAATGTATTTATTTCTTCCACATTTCACTGAAAATAACTTTTTGTGTGTGTGATGAGATTTTGTATATTGTTAAAATAATTGATGAAGAAGATTATTGGGTAAGAATTAAATTTGAATTTTAAAAGTTCACATATTCTAACTCACCTTGGAGGTTTTTATGAAGCTATTTTAGGTAATGTACTGTATTTAGTTTCTCTTCCAAATAAAAGTATTGAGAAGTGGTCAAACTTTCAGTGTATCTCAAAGCATAAAGTCCTGGGAAAGAAAGAGACCCACAGACAAATTTTTTTTTTTCCTGTTACTGAAGACTGAGCTAGATAAAAGCATATACCATACATTTCTTGTCCTTTAAATATTCGAATGTGAGTAATACAGGATTTATTTGTATGCTATGGGAGAGTTGTGGAATCAAAAATTTCATGTAGAACTTAAACAGGTAATACTTTACTATCAATTCAAATAAAATAATTAAAAGGTACTAATATGTGAACTTGAATTTTTTACACTTAACAAGTATTAATGTCACATTTAATCTTTTTCATGTTAGAATTTGAATACATCTGGCAAGACAACTTCAAGTACAGATGGACCCAAATTCCCCGGAGATAAAAGTTCAACAACACAAAATAATAACCAGCAGAAGAAAGGGATCCAGGTGTTACCTGATGGTGGGACTTTATGACTATGTAAAACATGTTGTAAAATGTATTTTCTTTACTTTTTCCGCAAAGATAAAAATGACTTTGTCCTTTATCCAGGTCGGGTTACTAACATTCCTCAAGGGATGGTGACGGACCAATTTGGGATGATTGGCCTATTAACATTTATCAGAGCAGCAGAGACAGACCCAGGAATGGTACATCTTGCATTAGGAAGTGATTTAACAACATTAGGCCTCAATCTGAATTCTCCTGAGTAAGTATTTTTCTTTCCTTCCAAATTTGTGTATAATACCTACCAGTTTTTAATTTCATGTTTTCAATTTGTGTCACCATTCATTGTTACTGTTACCTACTGATTCTTTGAATTATTTCTCGTGTTAGCTCTTGAAGCAGTGTCACTTAATATTTTTCCTCTTATAATTTGGTAGTATTAATATACACATGTCTGATCCTTGGCATCTTCTATCATAACTCAGCTACTCTCTTCTTTAGTCATCCCTTTGACCTTACCTTTACTAGTAACTGCAGTTCTCTGTAATTTTGAATCTGTTACTCATGTCACTTCCTATTTTCCATTTTTCTCCCAGTAACTCTTGTAATTATTTGACTGCACTGAGACTTTTAGTCCATTGATTCTTGTACCTTTTCACTGTTCCTCAGCCTGCCTCTCTTCCTGTGATGAACTCACTTCTTTCTTATACAGTTAAATTATTAAATTATAATTGCTCATTTACGTCTCTTTGACTATTTTGTCCCTCTTTTGCTTTGTCATTCCTGTTTAATAAAAACCACAACCCTGGTTATATCTGCCTGTTCCATTCTTTACCTATGCTCCTGAGCCTGGCTAGAGAAAAGCAGTTTCAGTGCCTGATCTCATGATATAGGAACCTCAGATATGTTCCCTTAATTCTGCCAAGTTACCATACCTGCTCCATTCTCTCTTTTGCCATCCTGTGCAACTGTTTTACTCTTGCCTCTTCAAACCTCGCCTACTCCTTTTTTCCCGTCCTTATTCTCAGATGATGATGTTACTAAATATTTGTACTTTGCTAAGAAAGATGGACCTAAATCAAAAAGAGAATGTCTTTGTAGTCCTGCCATCAAATGTAGCTACCTACTACCATCTGCACCCACCATATTCTTAACTTAAACCCTGTTACCATAGTTAATCAAATACTTTGTACTTAACACCCCCTCTTGATGATATGTTTACTCTTTGTTGGATCATTTCCATTAGCATACAAATAAGCCATGACTTCTTCCATGTTAGCAAAATACCTTCCCTTGATCTAACTTCTATGAGTTACTGCTATCATGACTCCCCTTCCCATTTCTTTATTCTCTTTGAAGTAAAATTCTTCAAAAAAGAGCCATCTTGGTATCCAGTTTGTCTTTTCCCATTCTTCGTTGAACTCATTTTGGTTAGGAAATTGCCACATCCCCATCCCCTCCAGTAAAACTTCTCATCAAGATCGCTGAATGACCTCTTTGTTATTAAAGTCACTATTCACTTCTAGAAATACATAGTCCTTGACCAGTGAGGAGCTTTTTACATAAGTGAATCATTGTTTTTTTGCTTCTTAATACTTTAATCTGTGATCACCCTCATTTGAATCATCCTCTCTCCTGAATTATTTCATTAATCATTCACCAGATATCCCTGGTTCTCCCTGTGTCCCTTAAAAACTCATTGTGTGTAGCAGCCTGGACCATCTTTTTTGAATAAACTAATTCTCAGCTCAACACCCAGTAAGGATGAAAGGCTTGATATAATTAAAGCCCCCCCAAATCTTTACAGACCTGCAAGGTCTTGCATGATCTGTGTGTCTACGCTTATCCTCTCCTCAATAGTAAATTCTGTTCCAACTTTACAAGCCTTCTTGCTATACCTCAAACATGTTCCTTCTATTTCTGCCTTAGTTTCTGCAGTAGGTCCTTCAACCTAAAATAATCTCTTGGCAAATAATTGATATCATTATATCCTTCACACCATTCACATCTCATTTCTTCAATGAGATGTAATTTTCTACCCATTATTTAATTGTGCAGCCAGCTTCACCTCCCCACCCTTTCACTAACATGGATTTTTTGTTTTTTATGTATATGTGTGTATATGTGTTTGTATGTTTTATGCTAATTGTTTTTATCTGCCTCCCTCCAATCTACTTTTCCTCAGCCAGAAAGTAAGTTTCATGTTGCTGATGATCTTTCCTTTGTTTCCCAAGGTACCCCATCACCTAGAACTGTGACACACATGAAATAGGCACTAGTAAATAGTTGGTGAATTTGAACCTTTATTTTTAATTGCTAGTTTTTTCCTGGCCATATAATTGGGAATGTAAATTTGTGTGGGGGCATGAATATAAAGCATTCTGAGTTGAAATAGTATATTATTTAACCTTGTTTTAGTTTCCTGCTATATAAGTCATAGTAGATACAAGAAAGGAAATTAGAAGTAAATAAGCTTCATTTATATTTGAAATTAGCTGGGTTGTTGTTTTTTTTTTTTTTTTCTGATTTCTTAAAATAAAATTGGAAATCTCTTTTCTACTTTGGACTTCAGAGTATTTTTTTCCCCATTATTTAGAAATCTCTACCCCAAATTCGCATCGCCCTGGGCATCTTCACCTTGTCGACCTCAAGATATAGGTAGGATAATCTATTTGTGTTTATACCCTTTTAAAGATATTTGTAACTGAGAATCAGTTAATAAGGCTTTTTTCATTTTATTATCCAGACTTCCATGTTCCATCTGAATACTTAACGAACATTCACATTAGGGATAAGGTGAGTGTAGTTTATTATTCTATTAAGTCAGCATGACTTTATTTTTCAGGTATTGTGTTTCAGTTAGACAGTTAATATTTTTGAAATAATAATCAGTGGTCTTGGGTATGTTTTCATATGTCCATTCAGCTAGATGTAACAATTTTATTTCTATTTTTGTTAGTAATTATAACATTTTGATGATATCCTGGGTTATATTTTTAAAATTTTCAGAACAAAAAATGTTAGGACTGGCAGACAGATAATGATAAAAGGGTACAACTATAACTACAGTTGATGGGAATAAACTAACTTGGATAATTTGATATATTTCCTATTGATATTCTCATTTTTATGCCCTTATCAATTAGAAAGATTTTCCTTTGCAAACATTAGTGTTTTTAATGGAAATAAATATATAGGTATTTAAAAACTAAGACCTTCAGCTTTTTTTCATTTTTTTTTTCCATTTTTGAATTACCTGAATTTCTAGTTATAAAGTAACTGTTAGCACATTGCTGCTTTTATCTATTTTCTTTTTCATTTTTTTTAAAGATTTATTTATTCATGCATACAAGAACTGGGGTGCAGGCCAGAGGTGCAGGGGGTGAGAGGATTCACCAGAGACAAAGTAGGGAACAGAACAGGTGGATTGACTGAAATATACTGCTGAGGGGAACAGCAGGCGAGACAGGAGAGGTCTGCTGTGCCATTTGGATCACCTCTGTGGCCGGGGATATAACTTCCATTGCAGTAGTTGCAGATTGCTTCATAGTGCTGACCCCTAACCCTTAGCGCCACCAGGGAGGGCCTTATTTTCTTTTTAATCTAAGAAATAAAAGGGTAAATGCTTTTTAGGTTTAGGGGAAAGAAGTAAGAAATTTTGGTCTTGTGACAGGATAAAAATTAGTACAACATACATGTTTATATTATACATATATTTATAAATGTATATGATATAAATATATATAAATGATCATGTTCTGTGTCTGTACCATACAGTTGTGTAGTCAAATGGATGTTGAGGTTGTAAACACGCAAATAAAAAGATACCCTTCTCAATAAACCTTTTAATACTTGAGTAGACGGAAGACAACAAGTATGAGATATAGAGCAGGCTAGTTTTTTCTGTTTATAATTGTGTGACTTTTTGCCACCTCCACTACAGAACTCTTTTGTTGTAATTACCTAGTATTCTAGAACCTATTTTTTACGGCAATTTAAGCTATTCCAATTTAAGAGAATTTGTTGAAATTGGAACTGTTGCCTGACGGGGATAATATGAATGAAGGGAAAAATTACAAAGAATGTGTAACAGTCAAATAAACATTGAGAATACAGGATTAGGTAAAAAGATGAAAGTGTTTTTTTATTTTGTTGAGCTTTTAATAAAAGTTTATCTTAGCATGAGAATCTAAGACTGTTGAACTCTAGTTTTGTAGTCTGGTGGGTATTTATGTTTATGTTTTGTGGAAGAAAGTGTGAATAGTCATCTTTTAGTCATTCATTTGAACAAAATGAAGAGCTGTCCCATTATGATATTTGTACTTAGCATCTGTGATTTATTAAAAAGGCTTAATGAACTAATTCATGATTCACTGTCAGATATAGATTCTATTAACATTTCTTATAAATCTATGTCTCAGTCACTCTATACTAAGGTACCTTCAAAAACATTGACTTAATTTTATGTATGTTCTTACTAACCCTCATAAATTTCACTGTGCACATTTTATAATTAAAATTCAGAGACATTAAATAACATGGTCATGGCCACTTTAATAAATAATGCACCTAAGGCTTATAGAATATAAATTCTTCACCTTTGAGCAGAGGATTCCCTATTATTGCCACATTGGGTATTAATACATCCCTAAAGTTAGACAGTTAGCATTTGATCGTCTTAGAAGTTTTTAGCTTTTTTCTCTGTTAGTATATAAGTGTACCAGAAGTAATTATTAAGTGGTTTTAGTAGTTTAATTGATGAATTTACTTTAGAAGTACCTGTGTAATCATGTTGATAGCAGTGTGTGCTACTTCAGTGGTAGCAGTTATATGTTAGGACTTTAAAACTTGTTTTACATTTCAGAATAATGTATTTCTCTTTTTCAGCTGGCTGCAATAAAACTTGGCCGATACGGAGAAGACCTTCTCTTCTATCTCTATTACATGAATGGAGGAGACGTATTACAACTTTTAGCTGCAGTAGAGCTGTATGTTCAAAGTATTTTCAAACACTTTTGTATGATAGTGGCTCTTGTTTATTCTGAAAACGTCTTTATTTAAATGATGAATGTAGTTTTTGGCTTTTGTTTTTAAACTGGAAATAGTTCAAGAAGTTTAAGTTGTTTTATATTTAGTGAAATATTTTCAGTTTAGGTTGAATCCATGGCTTCATAATCACTGTATATATAAAAAGAACTTGAAACTTAACCCTAAATTTGTAAGGTAAAAAATCTACTTATGGGTTTGGTGAATCTAATACATGGAAGTACAAGATATGTTTCATAACTGTGGCTCATCTTATTCCTGTGGAACCACATATGTTAATGACAGTGAATTTCATCATTTAATAAACATCTGTTGAGTATTATATGGGCAAGACACTGTGCATTTTTGTTGTGTGTTGATAAAATAAAGTCTGCTTTCATTATCAGAAGCCTATCAGCCAATTTAAATTAATATAAGAAGTTGGTCCACTGGATGTTTCTTTTCTGAGCATTTCTGTTTTTATGTGATGCTCTAAGAATAAAAGTTTTATGTCATTTCTCAAATGTCCAGTCAGTAACATATTTTGTTACCAATAGGCTATTTTATTAATCTTGTTTACTGTAGAATGAATTGTTACTGAAAATTTATGACATTATGATTGGAAGACCTTTTTACCTATTTATTTTCATAATCCTAATAACATTTCTATAAATGACCTTGAATCAGGTACTTTAAAATGTAAAGCTTACTGTAACGATAATAAATTGTTTTTTATTTCTCAGTTGAGAATTTGTTTTTTTCCCATGTTTTCTCTTCATTTTTATAAGATAGCAATTGTTATCTGTTCTTTTTATAATTACAAGTAAATAAATTCATTCAGTCATTCATCCATCCATCACTGGCAGTTCTGTTTCATATATTATTTATGTCTAAAATTTACCTCACTGTATTCAATAGGAAGGAATGTGTTTCCTGGAGGTTCAGTCTAACAGATTTTTTTTTTTTGGTGGCACGTTACCTCCTTTGGATGTTACTTTCCCAGTTTACAAGTGTTATAAATCCTCAATGATTCTTGCATGAATTCTAATGGCTATCTTTTTAGCTTTGAAGAATTTAGGATCATTGAGATATGAATAAAAATAAAACTTTCGATGAAGAATTTTCAAAATGAATGTTTTCAACAGTTATAAAATTATATGACTTGAAATAGTTAATTCAAATAGAATACATATTTAGTACTTACAAAATAATACAAATAGTTGGGGGTTTTGTTTGTTTAATAGATACCTCAATTTTTATTGAATGTTAAGAAGAACAAGAAAGGACTGAAGTTTCTGAAACACAGTGTATTTTTATTTTGTCTTAATTTTTTATCACATTGCTCATAGAGCTTTTAAGATCTCATTTTGCTTGCATAAAAAGTTTCTTCCATTAAAGATGTGTGTATTAAAGTGTGGTTGTGGGCAAATTAAGAAACTATCTTCCTATATTTATTTCACTGGGGTTGTATTTCATAACAATAAAATTCAGGATAAAGAAGCATTCAGATTTGTGTATTTTATGGGTAATTATCTTCTGAGAAAAGTTTTACAAAATGTAGAAAATGTTTTATGTGAGCCACAGGAAAAATTAATTGTCTTTTTCTCTTAAAAATTGAAGTTTTAACCGTGATTGGAGATACCACAAAGAAGAACGAGTATGGATTACCAGGGCACCAGGCATGGAGCCAACAATGAAAACCAATACATATGAGAGGGGAACATATTACTTCTTTGACTGTCTTAACTGGAGGAAAGTAGCTAAGGTATATTTTTTTCCATGTGTAAATGTATAAATCTAGACTTTGAAAAGACATGTCCTCTTTTTTGTTTATATGTACCCAATACATCCATTCCAGTGATGTGCCAGATATTTTGCTAAGTCTTTTGTCTCTACCTCCTTGTCTTGATTTAAACTCTAGGACAATATCCACAAACCGTTCATTTCACCAATAATTAAGAAAATGGTTGAACTTGGTAAGAGATTTTGTAATTTTTCACAAGCCTTGGTCATATTTGAAATGTTTTTGTGTCTTCTCAGTTGTAAAATAAAGATACACCCTCTTGCAATTCCAATCATGTATTCTTATATTATTGTTACTTTAAATTAAGCAAATTAATGAGATTTTTCCTAAAACCATCATTTAAGTAGATACTGACTCCTTCAAACATTGGCATTCACCACAGGAAAGATACCTCAGTTTTTATATATAATTGATAAACGGAAAAAAATTGCAAGTGTTAACTATAATCGTTTCTATGATTAGTATGCTAAGTAAGAGAAATGTGAAAACAGTTGATTGTTTTGGTTTGTTTTAGCTTGTAAATTTTCCTGACAAAAACATCTTTCTAACTGTCCCATGTGTAAAATTTTCATTAGTGTCAATACATAGTTAACATCTGTATTCAGTACTTTAATGTATGTTGTACTTACCCAGTAGAGACTATAACCCACATTATCTAATTTTCTTACTTCAGGTTTTTCTGAATGCCTCTTCCATTAATGATTCTTAGGATTAAAAAGTAAAAAATTTTTTTTGTTTGTTTTAAATAAATTTAAAAATGAGAGAAATACTTGACAGTTCATTGCATAATTTTTTAGTTGTTGGTTTGAGCTTTTTCATTCTGTTGGATCAGCTTTAATAAACTGGATTAAATGGTAAACTACTTTAAGACAGGGCAGAATAAATACTAGATATTTATCATAAAACAGTTTATAGCAAATGAAGATATCACATAAAACAACATAGGAAAACAACAAACACCACAGCTAGACATATCAAGAGCTTAAATTTTTTAATTATTATTTTGGAGTGCTTCTCAATGATAAAAGTTTTTTTCTCAGACCAAGTCCATATACTTCACACTATATTTGAGTTATTTTAACAATTGTAATTAATGCTCATATTGATTTCCAAAGGAATATATGTGACCTAATTTTTAGTTGATTACACATAGTACATGAGACATTGGATATGTTAACTATTCTTTAAGTAGTAGTATATAATAGAAAGCCAGAGTCTGTATCATGGATTTGAATTTAACTCCTATTTCTATTTATTCTTTGACCTTGTGCATGTTTCTTTTCCATGCCTCCTTTGAAATTGAAATATCTGCCTCTAGATTATCATATAAGATTAATCAAGATACACACATACACACTATACACACAGAATGTGTAGTGTTTGCCATGTGTTGCCTATTTGAGATACAGAGTGGTGGTGGTAGTTTGTTAACTGTTGTTTTTATGATCTTTGTTGTTACAGCTTATTAATAATAGTCTTCCAAAGATGAAAAAATTGTAACTCACTGTTAGGTTAAGTCATTGGTTCTCAAACTTCAGCTTGCATCAGAATTATTGAAGGCCTTGTTAAAACACAAATTGCTGGGCCATGCCTCCATTGTATCTGGTTCAGTAAATCTGTGGACAGTACCTGGAAATTAGTATATCTACAAGTTAACAAGTTCCCAAGGGATGTCATTGATGATGCTGGCCTTTGTCTGGAGTCATTCATTGAGAGCCTCTCAGTTGATTCTAAAGAAAAAATGTTTTGACAGGAGGGGAAATCTATATTAATAATTAACTGCTATTCTGCTCCAATTTGAAGATTTTTGTAAGTTATTCTAAACATAAGCACAAAAGAATGTTTATAGTAGATAGATGTATAATTGTACTTAGATTTTAATTCGATGTATTTGAAGAAGTCACCTTATGTGAAAGCAGTTTTTTCAGAAATAAGTTCTCCCCATAAACTTAAAACACAAGTTAATATTAATAGGGCCCCTTTATTTTCCCATAAAAGCCAATTCCCTATATAGGTAAATGTCATTTTAAAGAAAATTGTTTATATATAAAAATAATAATTTCAGCTGATAATTCCCTGAGCTTCTGTTGTAAATTTGAAGTACATCACTAAACTATTCTTTAAGAAATCTCTTGAGATAAATTGCTGGCCATGTGCACAGACACTTTTCAAAAAAAATTATTTTCATGTTGATGAAAACAAGCAAAATTACTGATTTCTGTCAACTATTAATATAGTTCATTTGGTTATGTCAAAATACAAATGCATGAACTTTTAAATTCAGAATAACTTTTTCAGAATGACTTGGGTTTTTTTTTTGTTTGTTTGTTTTTGTTTTTGAGAATGTTTTCAGTGGTTTCCCAGAAATTGGATTTGGAAATAAAAACTTTAGTTCCATTCATAGTATATTTATTAACAGATTTCTCCAGTGTACACAAAATCCATTAAAATGCCTATTCCAAATTAACTTCATTGGCCTCACATCTGTAAAGTTGGCTGTGGTTTACTAGTCAGAGGTAAAGAATATACATTCAACAGCTTAAACTTATTATGAAAAGCAGTATGAATTGGTATTATAGTTTGATGATAATATGATATCATTGAAAAGTATTAACCTGATCTAGACCATTATCAGGTCTCCATTCACAGTATCTTATATGAAGTTCTTTCATTCTCCTGCAAATCACCTGATATATTCAGAGACATAAAGAATTGTAAATTAAAGGGTTAGATGACTTAAATCAGAAGTATTTCTTTTCCCCTAAAAATTCTGTGACTGAGTTCTAAGATCCACCCCATACTTAAATATTTCCTATGTGTCAATAATCTATGTGCATTAAAATTTTGACACTTTGTTCATTCTCCCTATTTAAATGATCTGGTTAGTAAGGCTGTATTTTCTGTCCAATGTAATTTAGCTGGAATTACTCATATCCTACTAATTTAAATTAGGTAATTCAGACAGTATATGTGATCATTTTGTGTGTATGTAATCTTAATGTTTTTATTTTCATCCATAGACATTTTTTATGGTGGGAGGGGGGATGAAATGGGTATCTATCTGTTACCAATAGTTTTTCTTAAACTAAAGACAAAAATTTAACAGTTCTTTGAAACTCAATTTCACCTGTGGATCCAACGCTGTATAGAATTTTTAATACTTAGGATATTTTTAATTTCATCATAACCTGATAGAAATGTGATTTTTCTTTTCCACTGATTTTACTGGAGTACACCTTTATACTTTAATAAGTAATATGTGCTTTTCACCAAAATAATAAAAATTTCTAATAATTATATTTAAGGTAGTTTGCTATTTCTTTCCTAAAATTTAACTTGAGTATTTTTGTTAAGAGAAAGCTGACATTTTTGAGTACTTGAGGAACCATTCCTTTGGTGGGTGTTTCTGTAATTACATCAGTGATGATGTTCATGCTTTTGTAATGATTTGATCGTTTGAATCCAGTGTGTATTTTTCCACTTCCCAGTAATCTTTGGAGAATATATAGCCTAGTTTTATTAATAGAAAAGCTAAGACATCAAAAAGATGTTTAAATAAAAGATCTAGAAATATTTTCAGCCTTTTAAGCCATAGAACTGATGTAAAAAAAATCCCCCTCTTCCATTAATAGCAAATTTATACATAGACCTCCTAATACCTTTTTGCATACTTTTAAAAATTGTTTTCCTAAAACGACAACAACTAGTGTTTATTAATCAGCCATTAGTTACACACCTGCACTAGGCCTGGCACTAGTCCAGTTAGTAGTTAGTGGTATACAAAAAAGACACACTTTTTGCCCCTACAGATTATACAAAAGTGTGTGTAAACATGAACATTTAAAAGAGATGTTATTAATAAAGCAAACAAGGAGATAGCAGTATATTGTCAGTTTTAAGGAAACTAAAAATACATGGAAGACCAAAAAAATATTTTAAAAAAATGGAAGACAAAATTTGCCTATATAAATTCTAAAATCTGATATATAAGGTCTTGGAGATTTTTATACCTAGCTTTAAACTGATTTTTTTTTTACTAGGTAGGGAAAAGGTTAGATGTATTGACAATGAAGTTACTCTACTTTAAATTCTAATATTAAAAGTTTGTTCACCAGTGTTTACAATGATGACAGGATAATTGAACAAAATTTTTATTTTTATATAGCTTAGATAGCAGGGTGTATGATTTATCACACTCACAAATAAGATTTTGAGCCTATACACATATTTTGGAACCAAAATGCCAATTTCAATTTCTAAAGAATGGTATAACAAGATGCTCTTCCCCTCCCCCAACTAATACAGATATTCATCTTCAATAAGGCAGTAATATTATTTTAATGTCTCCATTGGGGTGTGGGAAAGAGAATGATGTCTACATAATTCATTGTGACTGCTGTGGTGATCCTGGTGTTCACTGGATTCTGCTGCTGAGCGCCACTGTGCCTTATTTACCCTATAGGTCATGTAAAGTGAACCATTTTAGCCTATAGTCCTCACAGTGTACTTTATAAACACTTGTCAGTACACTGAATTTTTTCAGCATTTCTGGATAGGGGTGTAATGAAGTATTTCTATTTTGGAGACTTAGGCTAAAAATATTTAATGTGTCCTGCAAGAAAAGACATGGGCTTTAGTTCCACACACCAAGTCCTAACCCTAGATCTTCTATTTAGTATAAGACTTGGGCAAGTTACTTGGAGCCTTATTTTTTCTCAGTGCAAAATGAAAATACGACATTTACAGTATAAATACTAGAATAAAATAATTTCTGTCTCTAGTTTTGATACATATTAAACTGATAAATTATACTTGCAGTTAATATAATATCTTTAATTTTTAAATACTTGGCTTTTCTACCTCCAAATTTAATCATTGTGGCCTAGGTTTTCATTATAAAATTTTCACATAATAATGGAAACATCAATGATAGGATAGATTTGAAATAAAACAGATAACGTAAAATGTTAACCCTTGGTGCTAACATTGCTTTTGGCTTTTTTTAAAATACGTAATACCGAGTGAGGTTCATAATTCTTACAATGAGATTTATTAAAATAGTTTGTGCTGATTGAATTCAGGTCCTGGAATTAGTAATTTTAGAACCTCTTTGGATTTATAAATGTACTTTTTTTCAATATAACATTCTGTATCTTTCCTTGGTCCTGGGGAAGTATTCAGAAAAAAATTGCTTCACCATTCTCAAATTTTAAAACTCAGTTATTTTGAAAGTTTGATCAAGTGATTTGTATAAATAGTCTTTAAATGTGCCTACAATCAAAATCACTGTCCTGTTTTTGTAACAGTTACATCATCTTTAAGTCAAAGTATTGGGTTTTTGAAAATTCTGGAGATGTGCAGGTGTAAGTTCATTGTCTCCCTCAAATTTCTATGAGGTTAGAATAACTTTTAAAATTGAAGTAGCATGGCATTTTAACATGTAAATTCCAAGGGTGCTATAATAACTTTTTATGTTTGATTTTTAAAAAATGCATGATACAGCAAATTGGAAAGTTCTTCCAAACTCTTCATAGGAAAGATTAATTTTTAGGTTTTATATTCACTGAAGGAGGCTTAACTTTAAATATCCTATAATATGCAGTGCTTTTTATTAGTGATACAGTGATTGGTTCCTTCAAACATTTTTATGCAAAAAGAATACACAGAATTTCAGTTCTGTAAAATAGATCTCAATGAATAATATCTGACTTTATGCAGAAAGTCTGTATTTTGTTCTTAATCAGAAACTCCAGGACACTTTCTTCAAGCTATATTTAACCTAGAGAGAGAAAAAATTGATATATCTGTGCTCATTCTCACACATGTAGGTATTTTATTTGTTCAACTAATAAAATAGATTTTGACAAAAATACAAGATCAGAGGGAGAGGAAATCATCTAAATTCTTAAATTTGATTTTATAGGAGTTCCATCTGGAATATGACAAATTAGAAGAACGACCTCACCTGCCATCCACCTTCAACTACAACCCTGCTCAGCAAGCCTTCTAAAAAGACTTCCCTTTTCTTGGGGTATGGCTGTCTCAGCACAATACTCAACATAACTGCAGAACTGATGTGGCTCAGGCACCCTGGTTTTAATTCCTTGAGGATCTGGCAATTGGCTTACGCAAAGGGTCACCATTTGAGGTCCTGCCTTACTAATTATGTGCTGCCCAACAACTAAATTTGTAATTTGTTTTACTCTAGTTCAAGCAGGGTCTGGATTTTTCGTTTTCTTTTTTTGCCAGCAGACAGACTTGGGTCTGTAAAGACAAGCAAGTACACTGACAGAAGTTTACGATTTAGTTTCTAAAATGTAAAGAAAACCCACAAAAGACTCAACAAAATTAGACCACAAAAATTGCATTGTTCATTGTAGCACTATTGGTAATAAAATAACAGATGTTTGTGCATTTTTATGTGAAGATCCTTCTCGTATTTCATTTGGAAAGATGACCAAGGTCTGCTTCCTTCATTTTACTTCCCCTTCTGTTTTTGAAAGGCAGTTTCGCCAAGCTTAACGCAAGAATATCTGACTGTTTAGAAGAAAGATATTGCCACAATCTCTGGATGGTTTCCAGGGTTGTGTTATTACTGAGCTTCATCTTTCCAGAATGAGCAAAACACTGTCCAGTCTTTGTTACGATTTTGTAATAAATGTGTACATTTTTTTTAAATTTTTGGACATCACATGAATAAAGGTATGTATGTACGAATGTGTATATATTATATATATGACATCTATTTTGGAAAATGTTTGCCCTGCTGTACCTCATTTTTAGGAGGTGTGCATGGATGCAATATATGAAAATGGGACATTCTGGAACTGCTGGTCAGGGGACTTTGTCGCCCTGTGCACTAAAGGGCCAGATTTTCAGCAGCCAAGGACATCCATACCCAAGTGAATGTGATGGGACTTAAAGAAGTGAACTGAGACAATTCACTCTGGCTGTTTGAACAGCAGCGTTTCATAGGAAGAAAAATAAAGATCAATCTTGTATTTTCTGACCACATAAAGGCTTCTTCTCTTTGTAATAAAGTAGAAAAGCTCTCCTCACTGCAGTGTTGACTTTGATTTGAGTTTGTGAAATTATTTCTTCAATATGAAAAATAGAGAAAGAAACCCAAACTTTTACAAATACCAGTTGAATGCTGTAACTAAACATAAAATGTCTCCTTTTTTGGCCTTTGACAAGTAATTTAAGGGAATCTTATACCACTTCACTTGTAGGTTTAAAATGTAACATTCTTAATCCAATTTCAAAACAAAACTGTTATTTAAATGGATTATGGCAACATTAGATATCAAACTTTCTGGACACTCTTGGGACCCAATGGAAATACTTTTTGTGAGAAAATTTCTTGATCTCTAAGATTTTAATCTAAGGAGGTTATAAACAAGCCAAAAGTGGTGGTGGGATAGATGTTACATTCAAATTGCTGACCTAGCTATTTCATATTTAGAAGTTGATGGGTTCTTACCCATCTAAACACAAAACACTATTTCAAAATGTCTGAAAACTGAAGCTACAAAAGCAGCACGAGTTAGGTTTTAAAAGGTGAATTTTGATGCTTTACATTTTCATTTTTAGCTATTCTGTGAAGAGGAAAGTTTGTTGACATTTACTAAATTGTGTTTGAAAACAAATCATGACTTTACTGTTTATCAAGATTGATTTATTTATTCATACAAGCACTGGGTACAGTCAGAAGCACGGGAGGGTGAGAGAATTCACCAGAGCCAGAGCAGGGAGCAGACTGACGAAGTACACTGCTGAGGGGAGCAGCGGGCAGCAGGAGAGGTCTGCGTGCCATGTGGGATGCTCACCTGGCAGCCAGGTATCGAACTGGTGCTGCAGAGGCTGCAGGCAGCTTTGCAACCCAGCGCTCAACCGCTGCGCCACCAGGGGAGGCCCGAGTTTTACTTTTTTCTATGTATTTTGAGATAGGAAAAATTGAAAACATTAGGATTTTTAATCTTTCAGATTTAAACCAGAGCTGCTCCTCTGTGGGGAAGATGGCACATAATTATAATTGAAACTCTTGTGCAAAATCCCTTCACAGAACACGCACCATATTTTACACAAAAGAGTCAATTTCCTTTTTAAAAATGACATTTTCATGATTAATTTGCAAAATTCTTTTGCAATTTATTGTGCAAAGTGTAATTTTTCCTACACAACCATGAGAAAGAAAAAATGGAAGCGGATCTTTTTCTTGTGAGTACAAACAAGACTATATAAAATGTCAACTGAAGCATGATCCTGATTGTTACTACATAAATGACTCAGAAAAAGAAGATAGCTCATGTCAAGTGATCTGTTGTCTAGGCTCTAGTTTTGGGGGATTTTGTTTTAACTGCCACATATAAAGTTCCAGTTCTTTTTATTGTGAATCACATGAGAAAACTGCATGTAAGTCAACTTTTTGTTAATGTCAGAAATCACCATGCTCTTCAAGTTTCAAAATTTTGTTTGAAATCTTTACTACATTAACCTTTGATATAACACATCTGATTTTATATCTTATGGTTACACAGATGTTGTGAAGAACTAATACTGCACATTTTCTTAAGTTTAATTGTTAATTTTTCCCTATGTAGTTAACATACATGCATGTGTACTGTGTCAAAAAAATTTTGTGATTACACTATAATTGAAACAAGCCACTGCATTGCAAAATGGAGTCCTTTTAGCTATTTGTTTTTAACTATTATGTGTTTTTTTGTGGTGATACTGTATATGATATAGGTCATATATGTATCCAGGTGTTCTTAAGTCATATATATCCCTTCCTCAGGGATATTTTAATGCACTGTTGTTCACTTTAGGTATATCTAACAAGTGTAAAAACAAAGTTTATTTGAATTTTTACCAGTATATAAAAATCCAAACCACTTAACTGGTCAATTTTTTTTGGCCACTGAACATGGTTCAATGTAGGTTTTTGATAAATGTCTGACATTAATGTTTTTATAAAAATTGATAATTCAATTTAAAAATAAGATGTACAAATTCAAGCATTGAGCTCTAAAATAATTTACTATTTTTTGCTGTAATTTCATTTTCAAAAGTCTTTTAAAGCATTTTCAGTTAACTTTCAAATTTATCTCACTACCATTTCTATTTGATTTTTCATCTGAATCATCCATCATTCAAAACCTATGGATCTTCCATTCTGGGGCATCTAAGCATAACTGCAAAGGAAGACTCACATTTCATTTAACTCAGATTTAAGAGCATCAGTGTTGCAAGGAGTTGCTGAAAACATGCAAGTGTGTAAACAGGATGCTTATATTTAATGTTCTCTTAACCATTGTTAGTTTAGTTAATACAGATGAGACCTAGAATTACCTAATTGGTTCCACTAGGACAGAATAAGACACACAAACGTCATGTCCTTTTAAAAGGTAAATCTTTAATGGTGTGTAATAAAGCATTCCTTGTGCTAGCACTACTAGTGAATTATGTCATGAATAGGTGACAGATGGAGAAAATGAAGCAAATAAATAGTCACAATTAGGATCTAAATCTAACCTGGTTATTTGTGTGTGGAGTTGCATCAATAGGATGCATTGAATCAGGATAGTTTTGCCCATCAGTTGCTGAAACTACTAAAAGATGGTGGACATGACTTGTGAGTAGTTTATATGTAGAACCATGCAAATTGAGATTCTATTGCCAAAAATACAATGTAATCTTTGGCTACCTTAATAAAAACAATGCTCAGAACAGGTAGGAAATCTGCTACATTTTAAGAGCCACCATATTTGGAAGGCAGAAGGAGAACAAGATGTGGCATACTTTCTAACTGCCAAGCAATTACCAAGTGTTTTACATGTATTACTGCTTCCTGTCTTCAGCATAGCGTCATGAGGTAGGTTTTAATATTTCTGTTTTATGTTAAATTTTATCTGTCACAAAAAAAATACCAAAGAAGTAGGGCTATTTGGCACTAGGGAATAAGCTGACAGAAGCACTAGGCCTAGGTAGAAAGAGATTTTAATGTAATATGAAAATTCCTGAAATGATTTTAAAAAGTAATTCCTGAAATACTTTTGTAAGATGTTTGATTCAACCTCAGAACCTAGTGTTCTATGTCGAAGGTAAGGAGTTGAACTGGGTGGGTTGGTCTTGAATGTCTCCATCATTTATTGAAAAATTGTCATGGGAAATGAGATGACTATTTCAGCAAACCTAATTGCCAACAGTTGTAAAATATACTTATTTTGTTTACCACCTAGGAAGAAATGGTAGCTCATGCTAGTGACACGTCATCACAATGTATCCTAAGTTCAAAGACACTTTGTGTAGGGAGAATGCATCTAAAGTTGAGCTGTAGACCTTTGGAGAAGAGACAACTAAAGACATCTAAGGGGAGGAATGAGAGCTGTCTTCAAACAGGAAGAACTTAAGGAAGAGGGCAGGTCAAATCAGCCAGTGGAAGCGCAGAGAGATTTTGTTTCTACGTATTAAAATGCCACTGTTTCTGTTAAGGGAAAGGATGTCCTGAGCAAACTCCATACAGGCTTTGTGGAGTCTACCCTCACTCCATCAAGGCACTGGGAACTACAAATCCCATGATCCCCAAAGGAAAGTTGTGAGGACCTAAGGGTGGAGTTAAGCAGCCATTTTCTCTGTTTGTAAATAAAAACCAGCCATGTTCGTGGGGTCTGGGGCACTTGGCTTGTGCTCTTAGCCAGGCAGATTTGGTCTCCGCAGGTGATACGGGATTTCAGGACAGTGGAATGGTTCGGGCACATTTAAGAATTTATCTCCCTCTTTTCTCCCTGAGTTGTACATTTCCTCATTCCCCTTCCCTTGTAAATAAACCTTTGTTAACCTTTTGTGTGTGCCTGTCGTGTAAGTCCCTTTTAAGCACGCGGGTGAGGACCCACAGCCAGGCAACCCGTTTTAAGAGTGGGGTTTGCCCTGTAACATTTCTACTAAGCATTGCATAAAGTTTCCATCAACAGAAACAGGTTCTAGCAGAAACTGGATGACTGAGAATTG